CTCATGTTGTGGTGACCCCCAACCATAAAATTATTTTCGTTGCTACTTCATCACTGTAATTTTGCTACTGTTATGAATCGTGATGTAAATATCTGATATGCAGGAAGTGTTTTCATTGTTACAAACTGAACATAATTAAAAGCATAGTGATTAAGCACAAAAACAATATGTAATTACATATGTGTTTTCCGATGGTCTTAGGCGACCCCTGTGAAAGGGTTGTTTGACCCCCAAACGGGTCGCAATACACAGGTTGAGAAACGCTGCTTTAGACCAAACTGTCTGGTCTCAGGCACTCACTCGAGGGACAGCGACACAGAAGGCCAAGTTAATTGGCCTCATTCAGGCTCTCTGGTGGCCAAAAGAAAATTCAGTAACGATTTATACTGATAGCGGGTACGAATTTGCAATGGCTCATATACACAGTGCTATTTACAAGGAAAGGGGACTTTTAACTTCAGCCGGGAAGGACATAAAATATAAGGAAGAGATTCTAGCTCTACTAGAAGCCATCTGGCTACCCAAGGTAGTAGCATTAGTTCACTGTAAGGGGCACCGGAAAGGGGACCCCATAGAAGCAAGGGGGAACCGGCCATGGACGAAGCGGACCGGGAGGCTGCCCTAAAACCAGTGGGAACTTTACAGATTCTAGTGACTCTTCCAAACCCTGACCTACCCACCTCACCAGCCTATATGGAGAAGGAGGAGAAATTAGCCATACAGAGGCAGGCCTCCAGGAACCTGGAAGGATAGACTTTACCGGACAGTCGACTTTTGGTTCTTGAGGCTCTAGGACAGACAATAGTTAATCAGTTACACCAGTCCACCCACCTAGGCCATACGAAGCTTACTGAAGTTTTAAGGGATAGATACTATATACCCAGCCTCAATAGTATAATAGACAGCATTGTGTCCCGATGCATCACTTGCGCTCAAGTGAATGCCAAACATGGTAAGAAACTCCCAACGGGAATCTGAGCTCGGGGAAAGCTCCCGGGGGAACACTGGGAAATAGACTGCACAGAAGTCAGGCCCACGCCAGCAGGGTATAAATATCTCCTAGTTTTCATAAACACCTTCTCAGGATAGGTTGAAGCTTACCCGACTAGGACAGAAACTACCACCATTATAGCTCAAAAGTTACTCCAGGAAATAGTCCCCAGGTTTGGCTTGGCTTACCAATAACTTTAGGATTGGACCATGGACCCGCTTTTATAGCCAAAATTTCACAATACATAGCAAAGATATTAAATATTAATTGGAAACTACATTGGGCTTACTGGCCCCAAAGCTCTGGGCAGGTAGTGCACATGAATAGGACCTTAAAAGAGGTCCTCACCAAATTTACCTCAGAAACCGGTGAAAATTGAGCCACCTTCTCTTTGCCCTACTCAGGGCAAGGTGCACCCCATACCAAGTGGGGTTCTCCCCATATGAAATTATGTTTGGGAGACCCCCTCCAATACTCCTAAGACTTCGGAAAGAAACAAAAGCTGAAATCCATAACCAATCTTTACTCAAGTCCTTACAGGCTTTACAGTCCACCCAGAAAGCAGTTCAGAAGCATGTCCAAGACGCTCTGCCTGTACAAACTTCTGATCCGGTCCATCCCTTCCAACCTGGTGACTCAGTTTAGGTAAAGAAATTTACCACCCAAGAACTGACTCCTACCTGGAAAGGACCATACCACCGTCATCCTGACCACCCTCAGGGCAGTCAAGGTCGATGGGATCCCAACGTGGGTTCATCACACCTGCCTTAAAGCAGCACAGGCAAAATAGAGAGTCCAAGACTCTTCGGACACTCTAAAGATAAAACTTTCACGTGTGTTGTGCTTTTAATTCTCTTTATAGGACTAGCAAAAGGAAAAAATAATTTTCTAGCTAAATGGGTTAACAATCCCCATAAGCCATCTCAAAGGTGGATTTGGGAACTCAGGAATAGTATCACTGGGGAAATCCTTACTGAACCCGACTGGGAAGGTATACTCCTAACCACAGACATATCAATTGGTCCTCCTGGCCAACTAAACTCCTTTCTGCTACTATAGAACTTTTAACGTTATTACTCCTTGCCCTCATTCTGGACCCCTATCTTATAAACTGGTTTACTAACTTCATTCAACAAATAATTAATTTTATCAAGCTCATGGTCCTTGGGGGTCGATTTAATCCCCTCCCCAACAATGACCCACAAGTCAATGATGTGACTCATGAACATAAAACCAGTGGGTAATGACACATAGGCACTCCATCTTGCTACCATATCTCTATTCTGTAAAAACTGCTATTTGAAATTTTAACCGCACTATTTTGGCTTCTGTAAACACTTGCTTGCTTGAGTAATAGGGAAAATAAGTTCAACTATCTGACCTTGCAAGCTGCTCTGTTGCCGCTTCTGCCGTGTGTGTTAGTTATCTGAAATGTACTGTGCTCAAGGTTACAAGCTGCTTGAAAAAATAACTTACATAGAGCTCTTTGTAAAGCCTACAGAAGGTCAGGAAAAACCCTTATTTGGGAGACAAAGGGCTGGAAAGATATAAAAAGGGAAAGTTTCCTCCACGTTTTTGCTCATATTCGGGAGGTTACTCCTCTGAGACCACTAGTGTAATGAAGGCTCCAAAATTTGGCTCACTAATTGATTAAGGCATTTTCTGTCTAGATCACTGATTTACAATATAACAATACCACCAAAGAAGTAAAGGATATTCTCACATATACAAACAGTGTTGAGATACTTAGATGTCTACGTGTAAAGGAATGAGTGAAGTTGGACTGTTATTAAAAACCATACACAAATACTAAACCTAAATGAATAATTGAAACATAAAGTTAAAAAAGCTCAATCTATTAAAAGAGGAGTTATAGAAAAGTTTTTGTTTTAAAATACATTTAAAAAAATATATTTTATTGATTTTTTACAGAGAGGAAGGGAGAGGGATAGAGAGTTAGAAACATCGATGAGACAGAAACATCGATCAGCTACCTCCTGCACGCCCCCTACTGGGGATGTGCCTGCAACCAAAGTACATGCCCTTGACCAGAATCAAACCTGGGACCCTTCAGTCCATAGGCCAACGCTCTATCCACTGAGCCAAACCAGTTAGGGCTAAAATACATTTTTATTGATTTCAGAGAGGAAGGGAGGAGAGGGAGAGAGAGAGAGAGAGAGAGAGAGAGAGAGAGAAACATTAAGAGATTCATTGATTGGCTGTCTCCTGCATGGCCCCTACTGGGAAGGAGCCTGCAACCTGCTCATGCAACCTTGATTGGAACTGAACCCAGGACTCTTCAGTCCACAGGTTGACACTCTATCCACTGAGCCAATACGGCTAGGTCATATAGAAAGTTTTTATGATATTTAATTTTTTATTATAGTACTAAATGGAAAGGTAAACAAAAGAAAATAGTAAAAAGGCATTACATCCCATATAAAAATAACTTCACAATAAAGCAAATTTTCACTGCGTTCAAAATACAAGCTGTGAAATGAGAAAAACTGTCTGCAAAGCATATTATCTAATAAGTACTTAATATCTATAATATATAGAGACCTTCTGCAAGTCAACATGAAAAAAGAAGTAACACAATTTTCAAAATGTCCAAAGCTATATGGTCAACTAATTTATGAGACATAAGGCAAGAATACAAAATAGGTAAAGACAGATTCTTCAGCAAGTAGTGAGAGAAAACTGGGACAGATATATGGAAAAATACTAAAACTAGACCCTGTTCATAGGCCATGAACCAAAATGAACTCAGCATGAATTAACAACTAAAATAGAAGATCTGACACCATGAAAACACAGGAAGAAAGCAGAGTCAATGAACCTTGCCTGACATCACTCTTAAAATTACTGGTTTGGATGTATCTTCCTAGGCATAACAAAGAAGCTAAAAAATAAAGAAATGAAACTATAGAAAAATAAGTTTGGCATACCAAATACCAAGTAACAACAACAACAACAAAAGCCCAGCAATGTTACATCCTCAAAAACTAAAGATCCCATATATATAAGGCACTCACACCAACTTAACATCAACAAGACAGTATGATTGAAAAATGGGCAGGGGGCCCTAACTGGTTTGGCTCAGAGGATGGAGCGCTGGCCTGCAGACTGAAAGGTCCCAGGTTTGATTCCAGTCAAGGGCATATACCTTGGTTATGGGCACATCCCCAGTAGGGTGTGCAGGAGGCAGCTGATTGATGTTTCCCTCCCATAAATGTTTCTAACTATCCCCCTCCCTTCATCTCTGTAAAAACTCAATAAAACGTATTAAAAAAAATGGGCAGGGGACCTCAATATACATTTCCCAAACAGGACATAAAAATGCACAATAGACTTATTAAATTATGTTCAACTCATTCATCATCAGAGAAATGCAAATAGACACCACCATGAAATACCACCAAATAGCTAACAGGATGCCAATCATCCATAAATCAAAAAACAACAAGTATTACCAATGAAGTGGAGAAATGAGAACATTCATACACTGTCAGCAAGATTATAAAAACACTGGTGCAGCCACTAACAAAACACAATGGAGGGTTTTCCAATATTTACAAACAAGTACCAGGTAACACAATGATTCCATATCCAACGATTTATACAGAGAACACAAATTCAAGAAGTTATACTCACCCATATGGTCAGGGCACACACACAAAAATCAGTCAATGCCCAGCTGAAGTTTTTATGTCTCTCTCACTCTCCCTTCCTCCCAGAAATCAACTAAATCTTAAAAAATAAAAAAAGAAAAGAAAATGGAGTGAGCCAACAACCCAGGCATTGGCCTTGACCAGAATTAAACTGGGACCTTTCAGTCTGCAGACTAGTAATCTATCATATGAGCCAAATCAGCTAGTGCCCAATTTGTCCCTTGAAAGCAAGAATCCACCATAGAAAGCAGAAGCCCCAACAGAGATGTTAAAGTAATAAAGGAAACAAAACCCTGTGGATGGATGGAGTAGGAACTCAGGAAGGAAGTCATCCTCACCCACGGAGACCAGGTTGCTGTAGTTCTCCAACATCACATCCAGGTACAATTTCTGCTGAGCTGGGTCCAGGCATTCCCACTCCTCCTGAGAGAAATCTATGGCCACATCCCTGAAGGTCAGCGGTCCCTGAAAGAAAAGAGATATTTACTAAGAGGTCACAAGAACAGTTCATAATGTCACACTCCAGGTTTCATACTGGATCCCCAGTGGGTGGTGTGCAGGAGGCAGCTGATCAATGATTCTCTCTGATCACTTATGTTTTTATCTGTCTCTCCCTCTCCTTTCCATTCTGAAATCAATAAAACATATTTTTAAAAAGAAAGAGGGAAATATAGAAACTGCTGACACTGACTATCATAAGAAAAAAGGAAAGAAATAAGAAAAACGACCTGGAAAAACAAGAACATCAGAAGTAGAGAAATATGGAGGAGAGGAAGGAGCCCTAGAGAGATGAAGGGGAGCTGAGTGGAAGAGGGGTTCTGGTGAACAGAAGTGGGGGCAAAAGGGGAGGTACTTCAGATAGCGAGACTGGTTCAGAGAAGAAGTGGGAAGAGCGAGTGCAGGAACAGAAAGGGGGTTTAGGGATGATGGAGCAGAAGGAGAAGCAGCACTGAGTCATCCAGCTGTGGGTAACAGGACAGAGTGTAACGGGCAGATGGGACACAGGCGTGGGAAGGGAAAGAGAAATATATCAACAGATGTTCAAGGAAAAGGAAACGTAGCCTCTGAGACAGGACCATTCTTTTACCTGAGAAGGAGCCATTTGGTCCTGGTCCTGATCGGGGGTCTGGGTTGTTTCCTCAGGTGACAATATGTTGAGGAGTCACAGAATGTGCCTCCAAAGGAGATCGCACAGCCTGTTAATCAGCTCAGCTCACACTCACAGTCATGAGGACCTGAAAATTAGGAAAAGGCCACGCCCTCCTGTCCTTTGTCACAGGAGAGAGTGAGGAACAATGAGCTCCTACATGGAGACCACACTGTGAGGTTTTTTTTTTCCATCTTCATGTATCTGTCCTTCCAAAGACTTCCACAAACTCCTACAGCAATGAGAGCATGTACAGCTCGGCTCCACGCCCAAAGGCAACACAATACCCCTGTAAAAGCCTGCACTCGGGCCCATGACATGGCATCTTTAACTAGTTCTCTCTTGGGGCCTGCAAGGCTCCCCAGAGCTGTTTTTCAGTAGCGCTGGGTATCAGACATCACACCCAGCACCCCTGAGACCTCTGGGTTGCGGGAGGAGGTGAAGCGGGAAGTTGTACACCTGCAGGTTTCCCAGGCAGATTTCCTTCCTCTTTTCCCAGGAAATTACGGAGCATAGATCTTCATGCTAAAGCCTTTAGGGAAAGTTATCTATTGAAATATGCTCATCAAATGACTTCACCATGAATAGATGTGCTCTGTGGGAACCAAGTTCCAGTTCAATCCACTCCATCCTTCAAGAGTTTCAGAGAATGGACAAGAGGGACTTAGGGGAACAGTTCCCTTGTGGCTCACAGACACTAATTCAACAAATCACATGAAGGGAAGGAAAGAGGTGCTGAACATTGAACCAACTCACAGAACTAGCTTCTGACTGTTGAGATCATTGATATTATGCTCTATCAGGTTTCACTCAAAGGCGAGATTGTCCGCCTTCAGAGTGAAGGGTCTCAGGTTCAATTCTGGTCAAGGGCACATGCAAGGGTTTCCAGATCCATTCCTAGTAGAGGGCGTGCAGGAGGCAGGTAATCAGTGATTCTCTCTTATCATTGAGGTTTCAATATCTCTCTCCCTATCCCTTCTTCTCTCTGAAATCAATAAAAATACATATTTTTTAAAAAAGGTCACTGACATCCTTACCAAGTGCACACTGAAATCGCCTCATGTTACTAAGTGCCAATGGATGCCTCAAAGTATGATAGACAGTAGGAAGGATGCAGAGCTCAGTATCTTAACTACACACAATATATTGAAAACCAAAAACAAATAGGGCCGAAACCGGTTTGGCTCAGTGGATAGAGCGTCGGCCTGCGGACTGAAGGGTCCCAGGTTCGATTCCGGTCAAGGGCATGTACCTGGGTTGTGGGCACATCCCCAGTAGGAGATGTGCAGGAGGCAGCTGATCGATGTTTCTAACTCTCTATCTCTCTCCCTTCCTTTCTGTAAAAAATCAATAAAATATATTTAAAAAAAAAAAAAGAAATGTCTGTAAAAAAAATACACAAAAAAAACAAATAGGGTTGTTTCTTTTTAATGTAATTATTTCTTTTTTTTTAAAAAAATATATGTTACTGAATCTTTACAGAGAGGAAGGGAGAGAGATAGTTAGAAACCTCGATGAGAGAGAAACATCCATCAGCTGCCTCCTGCACACTCCCCACTGGGTATGTGCCTGCAACCAAGGTACATGCCCTTGACCAGAATCGGAACCTGGGACCCCCGAGTCCCCAGGCCGACGCTCTATCAACTGAGCCAAAACAGTTAGGGCTTACTGTAATTATTTCTAGGTTTAAAGCTTGAAAAAGGTAGAGAATGCTTATATTAAGAAAAAAATTATAAGAGGTGAGTGTGAGATGTCACCAGTGGTGATTTCTGAAGTTAATGACCATTTACATGAATTAAATATCAGAGATAGAAAAAGCAAACACATGAATCAGAAAAAAGATCAATGCGTCTAATATTCCTTGATAAAGCATCATGTGGGGGCAGACTCAGTCATTTCTTGTCCCAGGTCACCTCTTTCTTGCCATCCTTCCCAGAAAACGACAAGGGGCCCATCAGGAACATATGAGTATCTCCCTCTGTGTGAATAAAGGTTGCAAATGGAAGCAAATAATTATACAATTGCAAGCCTTATGAACGGGAGATTTGTAATTCTCATTCAAATCTGTTTAAACAATTTAGTTATTAAATTAAACATACAGAGCCACAAGCCAATATATCAAACTTAACCATCCACATCCCATCAGCTCACCCCTCACCCAGATTAGGGATCCCCTCCTCCCATTACTATGTATTTCTGTTTGTGGATCTGTCTCTGTCTCCTGCTCCCTTTCTCTCCACTGTGGTCCTTTCCCGTGTCCCCCCCCCCCCCCCACCTCCCCGCTGCTCTCTCTCCCCTTTTCTCTCTGTCTGTCCCTACACCTGGACCATGAAACTTCTGAAACCTACTTCCCTTCAGGGGCTCTTTCTCCTGGTCTCTGAGGCTCCATCTCCACACACGTCTGCGTCTTCCCCTCCCCACGCCCGTGGCCCCTCTGCTGCCTGTTCCTGTCTGTCGGCTCCCACAGCTGCTGACTCAGGGCTGCTCCCTCTGCTCCCTCATCCCTGAGCCCCCCTTTCTGTCCCTGCACTCGCTCCCCAACTCTTCTCCTCGGAACCAGTGTCTCTGTCTCAAGTGCCTCCTCCTGTGCGGACCCCACTTCTGCTCACCAGGACCCGCTCCCTCTCAGCCCCCCTTCCTCTCGCTGGGCTCCCCCTCCTCCCTGTGTCTCCACTTCCTTCCTCCTCAGGCCACTTTCCCGAGTGACCCCCTCACTCCTACCGTCGCCGTCCAGTCCCCCCCACACACCGCATGGGCCCCTCTCTGTGGACCCCTCGCTGCCCTTCCTCCCGCCCACGTGTCTGTCTCTCACTCCCTCTCCTGACCCCCCAGCCTGGGTCCCCGCCCCCCGCGGTCACCGCGCCCACAAAGCCCCTCCCTGCGGGCAGGTCGCCTCTTCGGGGGACACCGCGTCCTTCCCCCAAGCCCCCCCCCCCATGGACACTGTGCTCCCCGGGCAGGCAGACCCCTTATTAAATGGGGGTGGGCCTAGGAGGGGGGTGCAGACCCCCAGGCCGGGAGCCATCCGGCTCTTTGGGCGGGAAGCGCCGGGCGGGGGGAGGGGCGCAAAGGGCGGGAACCCCCTGACCCAGACTCTCAGCCCCGCGGGGAGCACCGGCGGCCCCGGGAACGGTTTTCAGCGGGAAAACCGCGCGGCAGGCGGTGGCCACAGCCACAGGCGGAGAGACCCCGGGCCGGGGCCTCCGTTTCCTCCCAAAGGCACGTGGCGCCCGCACCGCGCAGCCTCCCGGGACGCGGACTCACCGCTGAGAGAGGCTCCGGGGCGGGGACCCCAACAAGGACTTCAGCGCCGGCAGCGCCCTCAGCCTTCCCTGCGGGGAGGGGACGGGGAGCGTCAGCTTTAAAGACAAACACCCTCCTCAGGGGGAACCGCCACCTTCCCCTCCACAGCCGCTTCCGCGTCTGCAAGGAACTGCGCATGCGCCTCCCTGCGGGGTGGGCGGGGCCAGAGCCTGAGCTGAGCGACTCCGCGATGGGGGCGGGGCCGAGCCCGGCGGCCAGGCCTGTGCGGGGTCAGAGGGAGGGAGGGCGGGGCAGGAGCGAGGGGGCAGCCCCGGGTCCCCGCACCTACTCCCACAGGGACAGCCCTTCCTGGGGGAGTTTCCCACGTCATTGTCAGGGTTTTGGCTGGTGACGCGGCTGCGAAAGGATTCACAAGGGAGAGAAGAGACAGGAGCAGAGGGAGGGCGTTTATTTTACTTCTTTAAAGGGAGGAAAGGGCCAGGTGCCCTCTGATGGCACAAGGCACCCCAGATAGAGGGGCTGTTCCTTTATTAGGGTGCTAGCGAGTAAATGGCAGCTGTGGCAAAAGCATAAAGAGGGAGGAGGAACCTGGAATTCACACAGAAGTTTCCCAGCTCCCAGAGGCTGTGCTGAGAGCTACTGGCTGGTCTGCCCTTCAGCTGCAGGTGTCCCAGGGAGGGGTCTTTCCCAGGATCTTCACAAGCCGGGAGCACATTCTCACAGTGAAGTTACAGGGAATTCAAAAGGCGGGCAGATTGGGGGTGAAACCAGAAACTTTCTGCCTCCGATTCGCCTGGATCCTTAAACCCTCAATGAGGAGCGGGGAGGGGAAGGGCAGCCAGCTCTCTCAGCCCCTCCCTGTCTCCCCAACTGAAGGGAGAGGCAGCTTGACTTAGGGAAGCAGGAGGGTGGGGGTGTCAGAGACAGACCCAGGTATCCATTCATGGTTAGGCCCCTGATGAGATCAGATTCAATCCAACACTGTGGGGGAGATATTTTCATCTGGTATTTTTCAAGGGATAAAAATTTTCTGTTTGTAAGTTGTAGTCTTCGAAGTTTTTGTGTTCTGGGAGTGCATTTTGAAATGAATGTCTTTAATTTAGCAGTCTCTATAATCTAGATCAGGGGTCCTCAAACTTTTTAAACAGGGGGCCAGTTCTCTGTCCCTCAGACCGTTGGAGGGCCCGACTATAGTTTTAAAAAAAACTATGAATAAATTCCTATGCCCACTGCACATATCTTATTTTGAAGTAAAAAAACAAAACGGGAACAAATACAATATTTGTATTTGCATGTGGCCCGCGGGCCGTAGTTAGAGGACCCCTGATCTAGATAATGGGCCATTTACCATAATGTACAATGTCTCTTGTTAGTATTCATTATATTTGGGATAGAAAATAATTTAAAAATCAACAATATTTAAAAGTTATAATAATTATTATCTCTTTAATCTTATATCCATTTTCAAATTTTGATTACTTTCCAGTATTTTCAGGAATATAGATATCCCCTAGAGTATTTTGAAACTGTATTTACTTTAAAGATATGACCTGTTTAGAAACATGTAGAGTATTTCTTGAGTCTATGAGTTGACCAGGTGTTTCTTCTGCTTCATGTGCTATTGGCAAAAGGTTTGTGAACTTCTTCACTAGATCAAAACATGATTTCCCAAAACAAAACAAAAAACAGCAAACAACACGATTTCCTATCCTTCCAGACTTCCATCCTAGTTCCTTCACTTGCAGCCTCCACTAACAGTCTCCTTCCAGCCTCTGTCCAGTAGCCAGTCCCAAGGCCATGTCACACGTGTTAGGTTTTTATTACTGAGCACCTCAATCTCAGGAACTCTTTTCTCTTACTAGTCTTCCTTGTGGAATAAAACACCCAAACCTTAAATCAACCAAAATTCATCATTGCACATAACTCCAGGGTGGCTGAGCCCTTCTCTGCTGTTTTCACTTAGGCTCCTACACACAGGTGCCTCCAGCTGGCAGGGCAGTTCTCTGGGGCTGCTGTGAGCTGGGAAATACCTTCCTTTGAAGATATTTTTAAAGTTTTTTTTTAAAAAAAACTGAATTTAGAGAGGATGGGAGAGATGGAAACATAGAATTGGAAAACAAACATTCATTGGTTGCCTCCCTAAGGAGCCCTGAGATCTGGAATCACACACCCAATTCAGGAATTTGTGGAACCAGGAATCAACCCTGCAACCTTCTGGTGGAGTGCACTACATGCAGACAAATGAGCCAAAGAGGACAGGGTGTGAATTACCTTTAAGATAAACTTTACATCGTGATATATTTGTCAGTCACATCTAATACAATGTAACATCACATTTATTATATGTCCCTTCAAAGAGAATCTGCACCTCAGCAGGTGTGGCTCAGTGGGTTAGAGTGCCGTCCCTCCCACCAGAAGGTCACAGATTTGATTCCCAATCAAGTTTGGTCTCTGGGTGGAAGGTTTGGTCTCCAGCCTGTCCTGTGTGCCTGAGGGAGGCAACCAATTAATGTGTCTCTCTCATATCAATGTTTCTGTCTCTCTCCCCGCTATCCCGCACACTCTCTCTAAGATCAATAGAAAAAAATATCCTTAGATAAGGATTTTAAAGCAAGAGAAACTACATTTACTTTTTAGAATGTTTTAATTGATTTCAGAGAGGAAGGGAGAAAGAAACATCAATGATGAGAGAAGATCAATGTTCCACTGACTCCTACATGCCCCCTATTACGGATTGAAGGGGAAACCTGGGCATGTGCCCTGACCAGGAATCTAATCCAACCTCCTGGTTCATAGTCAGTGCACATCCACTAAGCAACACAGGCTGGGCCAGAAAGTTCACTTCTTACAATTATAACCACTTCTCATAATTATAACCTATTTTGTTGCCCCAGCACCCCCTATTTTTTGTTTTGTTTTCTATTTTTGAATTATCTGTCATGTATAAATAACAAACCTGTCAAATGAAGAAGACATTGGGACGTATTTTTGGCTCAAGAATCATTAATTCTGGCCCCAGCTGGTGTTACTCAGTGGATATGCATCATTAGTTCATGGACTGGGAGCCCTGGCTTTGATTCCAGTAAAGGGGACATACCTACCTTGCAGGCTGGAACCCTGGCCAGAGCAGATGGTTACCAATGGATGTGTCTCTCTCACACTGATGCTTCTCTCACTGTGTCTGTCCCCCTTCCTTTCACTCTCTCTAAAAACCAATGGAAAAACAGCCTCAGGTGAGGGTTCAAAACAACAAAAAGATTCATTAATGTTGTCCTGGCCAAGGAGTAACTTTGCTGGCTGGAGTGCCATCCCAATGTGCCAGAATTGCGGGTTGGAGCCCAGATTGGGGCACATCCAGGGGTCAAAAATAAACAACAACAAAGGAATCATTACTTCTGCAACAGTTTGTATGGTGGTACATTCTCTGTAATGTAAGCCTAAAAGAGAAGTAAAACCATCGATTAAATATCCAATAATTACATCTCCCTTTATACCCACAATAATTTTTACCACAATATGTGTTAGTGAGCCTCTAATATGAAGTATGTTTCATTGAAAAAGATTTCACCTATAGACAAATAGCAGGACACTGTGTAGTGAGTACATACATATGAGTGGAAGTAAGCTGAGTCCTAGGAGTTTCCGTTTTTCCTTTTTTGTTTTGTCCAATAGCAATGTATCTTCAAAACTTTCCATCTATCTCAGCATAAACATTTATTTAAAAAAATAAAACCAGCCTAAAAGGCTAGACACAGTGGTTGAGCATAGAACTATGAACAAGGAAGTCAGAGTTCCATCTCTGGTCAGGGCACATGCCTAGCTTGATGGCTCCATCCCCAGTGTGAGGTATGCAGGAGGCAGGGAATCCATGATTCTCTCTCACCATTGATGTTTCTGTCTCTCTCTCTCTCCCTTCCTCTCTGCATTCAATAAAAAAATTTTTTAAAAGTTAATATATAAATATAAAACCATAACATAGTAAAATAAAAATACTTAAAATTTTTCAAAACTCCTATTATTTCTGAGAAAACCAAGAGGCCCTGTATTGGAAATAAGCTTTTAGAAATGTCTGTGGAACATACAGATGCAATCTGGTTGATGCAAAATCGACGAGCACCATCTTAGGAATTTCTACAGTAAAGAGAATAATGAATATTACCTTGTATATTTCAAGTTTAAAATTATTTTGGGTTTAAATGATGCTAGTAAACATTTGAGAGCTAGTTTTACTGTTTGCTTTTATGTTCACATAATGAATTAATATCCTTACTACACATCCCTGCATGAGACAGTAACATGGAACTCAGCCACAGGCTTTGGTGAGGTGATCACGTTGAGAAGGGGTGTCTATTCACACAGGGACTAGAGACTGCAAGTAGGCTCTGGACCAGGGGTGGGCAAACTTTTTGACTCGAGGGCCACAATGGGTTCTTAAACTGGACCGGAGGGCCGGAACAAAAGCATGGATGGAGTGTTTGTGTGAACTAATATAAATTCAAAGTAAACATCATTACATAAAAGGGTACGGTCTTTTTTTTTTTTTTTTAAGTTTTATTCATTTCAAACGGGTTGGATCCAGCCCGCGGGCTTTAGTTTGCCCACGGCTGCTCTGGACTATCATCCAGGTTGGTCGGTAAAAATTGCTTAGGGGCCCCACCTGGATGGATGCCCTGGCAACTCTATACAAACCAGGAAATAAGAGACATGTGTACTGATGTATTAATGTGCACAAATGCGCAGGAACCAACGTGGGGGGGCGGGGGAGACACTGATAGGAGAAACAGCCTTTGCCTCATGTGAACAGCATATGTTAAGGGTCTTGTTCTCCTATCCATTCAGCTACCCTGTGTATTCTGGCTGAAGCAGTTAAAACATTTACATTGTACATGATTATTGATAGGTATATTAGCTATTGGCATTTGAAATTAATTAATTCAATCATAGGAGGGGACTTTAACTTCCCATGGAAATCAATGGATAGATCTCCCAAACAAATAAATCAATAAGGAAAAGTGGTCTTAAAGGAATCATTAGACAAGACAGATTTTATGTTTTATGTACATTCTTTATTGTTTCAAGTATTACATATATCTCCTTCCCTCCCCTCCCCCCGTGACCTTTCCCCGCCTGCCCCGGGATTTTATACGTTTACCCCAGAGATTATCAACCGGAGTGTCACACGTGCAAACTGGTGTGCTGCAAGAATTTTTAAAACAAACAGCAGTGACTGTTTAGTCAATAGCACAGACTATATTACCCATAGATTGTCGAATAAAATAAGTGACAACAGCCAACACAGTAATAGCTGTGTGGTGTGCATGGATCAAAATCAGACATTTTTTTTTGGAAGACTGGGAATATATTTATTTTGGTGAACCACTGAACTTCAGTAATTAGTTCAAGTGTGCCATCAGATAAAACGATTGAAACCTCTGACTTATAACTTTTCACCCCAAAGCAGTAGAATATGCATTCTGAACAAAACGAAGACAGAATTCTGCTAACTCAAGGGGCAGTGTCTGCTTCATCTATTTTCCTAATGGCCACATGAGAAAAAAAATATCTTATGTGTATTTGGTATCAATACACCTCAACATTCCTCACTACTGCACCAGAAAATGGAAATATTGTCTAGATGCGATTGAAGTCTTTGAAAGGTCTGGATCCCATAGTATGTCAATTAACAGAACAAATTCATAAAGCCCGTGGTCCAGATGAGTCCCAGTCACAAAATATCAGGAGACACACATATATAGGAATGCTCCATGAGTATGCCAGAAAGTAGAGTAGAATACTGAACATCTTGTCTCTGCAATCATTTTTTCAGTCCTTTGGGAGGCACATGCTTAGGAACTGATGTTTACAAACTTGTACAAATTCAGCACTGGACACAGAATAAATGTGTGGCTTTCATTTTAATCTCTGCTATCCTACTGTCCCTGTAACTTACAGTGATGGTTTGGAAAACACTCCAGGGACAGCTAATGGCAATGGACATACCTCTGGTCAGGCTGTGAATATAAAAAATAACTTTCATCCAAATTAATAAAAGGTTTCACCTACAAAGCTGCCATGGTCTCTGGGGTTCCTCTAGAAAGAATAACCAACATTAACCTACATTCAAGAAAGTGAGAATAGATTCTCTCTCATTATTGATGTTTCTATCTCCCTTCCTCTCTAAAATCAATAAAAAAAAATATATATGAAAAAAGTGAGAATAAAACCTGTTTAATATGGGTTAATTCCATCCCAATGAAGAAGTTAACAGGAAAACAATGAGAAATTCTCAAAGTTTCCAATGAAAATCAGGACAAGAGAAATCATCCCAATTACTAAGTACACAGATGCCAATTTGTGGTATTCCAAAAGTAATATTAGTATTAAAAATATAGGTATCAGCATGAGAACCTGAATGGTGGGCTACTTCCTTCATGAATAGAAAGCAAAATATTCGTCAAATTGTGATGTCAGTCATTGCATTATAAATTCGAAACTATTAAGCAGAATCTACACAGGGCTTGACAGGCTGATGTGGGACAGGAAGAGCTTTACATGCTGTGGTCATAGCACTGCAAAAGGAATGGCAGCTTAGAAGACAAGGTGAAAAATCAGAAAGGAACAGGAAATAGGAAATGAAAGAAATAAAATTATTTTTCCTGAGTTCAGCCAGCACTGCAGCCTGGGAAAGGTGTCCTCTCTCCACCAGCAGAGTTCATGCCGATTCTGAATCTTGGGTACAACAACGTCACTGGTATTGCAATATTCATCTTAATTATGGAAAATCTATTACACAGTCAGCACTGTCCTGAAGGTAGCTCTGGTCACCTAAATGTGACAACCACAAATTGAACACCCTCAAAAACTTTTCAGCTGAACACATTGGCACAGAAAAGGAAGTAACTTTGATGACATCATTTACAAAACTCGAGAACTATTTTAAAAGATTATTCAAGGATTATTCTCTAATAGAAGAAAATAGTGCGCTTTACAATGTACCCAATATTCCATGGGAAAGTGTACACAAATGAAGTCCATATAATGTACAACAGCAAACAGATCTTTAGGACAGAAACAATCAATCCCATGATTTCACACATACACCAGGAATAAAACACAGCAGCATCAAGTGATATGGGAGTAGAATCACATTAATATTTCCTTCTCAAAAGACTTCAAAATAAATGAGATAACATCCTAAGTAATTGTACATCTGGAAACATCAATTCTTTTGATATATTCAAGTATACAAACATTACCTAACTACATTTAAAGTTTGGAGTACACTGTATAATAAACATTTTGGTTTAGAGCAGTATCTGAAAGGCATTTTGGCTACCTATCTAGTAGCCAATTTAGTGATACTTTAAAATTCATAATCAATTACATACTTGGATAAAGTTTTTACATCTTAAGGCATAAATCCCTTGGAGTTTTATAAAGTATATATATTTTTTAATTAATTTTTTATTACGGTATTACGTATGTGTCCTTATCCCAACATAACCATGCTGACCTCCCCAACTCATGCCCTCACCCCCCTGTTGTCTGTGTCCATTAGTTAGGCTTATATGCATACAAGTCCTTTGGTTGATCTTTCACCCTTACTCCCACCCTTCCCTACCTTCTCTCTAGGGTTTGACATATGCCTGATAATTTGTAAGACCTCATTTTATCGTTCTTAATGTAGCTTCAACCATTGAAGCTTAAATCCTTAGATGAAAACTTCGTTAATGCTGTTTCTCTTTATAATGATTCCTGATTTCTTAGTTTTCTAGTGTTTTCTAGTGTAAGGCTTTCTCCTCCACTATAAAATCTCTGATGTTCAGTAAATTGTGAGCTATGTGTAAAGTCTGCAGCAAACTCTACATTTGTAAGGACTGTCTTTACTATGAGGTCTCTCAGGTACAGCAAGACATGAATGCCTTTTAAAGGCTTTTCTATGTTTTTCACATTTGTAAGGCTTCTTGCCAGTATCCATTCTGTGATGTTCAGTAAGTTCTCACAGCTGGTAAAGGACTTAGGACACTCCTCACATCTGTAACTCTTCTCTCAAGTATGAATTCTGCTGTGCAGTAAGGCAGGAACACTGATGAAAGGCTGTTATATCCTCTACATTTATAAACCTTCTCTCAAGTGTGAATTCTCTGATGCTTAGTAAGGGATGCGGACTGGCTAAAGGTTTTGCCAGTCTCTACATTTACAAGGCTTCTCTCAAGTGTGAACTCTCTGATGCCTAGTAAGGCCTGAGGAGGTGACAAAGGATTTGCCACATTCTCTACATTTATATGGCTTTTCTCCTGTATGAATTCTGTGATGTACAATAAGATTTGAGGACCTGCTAAAGGCTTTCCCACATTCTCTACATTCATAAGGTTTCTCTCCAGTGTGAACTTTCTGATGATTAGTAAGGGTTGACAAGTGGCTAAAGGCTTTGCCACATTCTCTACATTTATAAGGTTTCTCTCCAGTGTGAATTTTTTGGTGACTAGTATGTGATGAGTACTGGCTAAAGGCTTTGCCACATTCTCTACATTTAGAAGGCTTCTCTCCAGTATGAATACGCTGATGACGATTAAGATCTGACGAGTAGCTAAAGCTTTTGCCACACACTTTACATTCATAAGGCTTCTCTCCAGAATGAACTCTCTGATGATTTTTAAGGTGTGAGAACCAACTAAAGGCTTTGCCACATTCTCTACATTTAAAAGGCTTCTCTCTAGAATGAACTCTCTGATGATTTTTAAGGTGTGAGAACTGGCTAAAGGCTTTGCCACATGCGCTACATTTATAAACCTTATCTGCAGTATGAATTTTATGATGACGAGAAAGTTTTGAGGAATCACTGAAGGTTTTGCCACATTCTCTACATTTATAAGGCTTCTCTCCAGTATGAACTCTCTGATGTAGATTATAGGAGGAGGGCCAGCTAAAAGCTTTGCCACATTCTCTACATTTATAAGGCTTCTCTCCAGTATGAACTCTCTGATGTAGATTAAGGGAGGAGGACTGGCTAAAGACATTGCCACATTCTCTACATTTGTAAGGCTTCTCTCCAGTATGAACTCTCTGATGCCCAATAAGGTTTGAGGGCCAGCGAAAGGCTTTGCCACATACTTTACATTTATAAGGCTTCTCTCCAGTATGAACTCTCTGATGATAAGTAAGGTGTGAGGACCGGCTAAAGGCTTTGCCACATTCTCTACATTTATAAGACTTCTCTCCAGAATGAACCTTCTGACGACTAAGGTAAAAGGAATTGATAAAGGCTTTGCCATATTTGCTACATTTATAAGGCTTCTGTCCAGTATGAACTCTCTGATGAGTCATAAGGTTTGAGGGCCAACTAAAGGCTTTCCCACATTCTGAACATTTGTAAGTCATTTCTTCTCTATGATTTCTATGATGTTGATTACGTCTTGAGGATTGACTAAAGCCTGTTCCATCTTCCCTGAGTTTGTAAAATTTTGCTATAGTATGAATTCTTCCCTTATGTACAATAAGAGATGAATGACATTTAAAGGCTTTGCCACATGCTTTACATTTGTAAGGCTTCTCTCCAGTACGAATTTTCTGATTTAGCATACAACCTGAAGGCCAATTCGATCTTTTACCAGAATCTTTACATTTATAAGGTTTTTCTCCATTATGGATTTTTTTCATTTTATTTAGATTGAATATTTGACTGAAGACTCTCCCACATGGATTCCATTTGTAAGCCTCCTCTCTAGCATGAATATTCTCTTCTTCAGTGTAATTTGAAGACTGCTGAAAAGACCTGACACATTTACTTTCTTTGCGTGTCTTCTCCGCGATAGGAATAACCTGACATATATTGTGATTAGACATTCGGTCAAAGACTCTTCCGCTTTTATTATGGTCCTCCGCAAGTTCCCTCGTCCGATGATTAATATATGATTCTTGCTTAAACTTTTTCCAATGTTCAATCCATTGATAACTGCTATCTCCATTATGTGTACTCTGGTGATAATGGGAGATAGAAAGGCCTTTAGCCACAGTTATAATTTCATTAAACATGTACACTTGTTCCATAATACCATTTTGTTAGGTATTAAACCAAGATAGTTGTATAAAAAAAGCTTTCCTAATATATTAAACTTACAGACAAAAAAAAAAAAAGTACAAAACATTGTCAGAGGAAGGATGAATCCTTTTTTAAAAGACGGCCAAAATGCCAAGCCAGGATGTCTTAGTTGTTGAGCTTCGACATCTCAACAAGAAGATCATGGTTCCATTTCCAGTGAGGACACATGCCCTGATTTCAGAATCGGTCCCCCATGGGAGGCATGCAGGAGGCAGCCAAGGAATGATTCTCTCTATCACTGATGTTTTCCTCTCCCTCTTTGTCTCCCTTACACTCTGAAATGAATAAAAATATACTTTTTAATAAAAAAATCATAAAAGATTGTCAAATAGAGCACATGTTAATTTTATAGGCATATTATAAATCTATACATTTTAGAAATGATTGAATGAAAGTTTAATTTCACCCTACATTTTAAACAATTCAAATGATTATTTACTCTACAGACTATGTGAATTCCTAGTTTATCCAGATTTTCTTTCCAAAATGCCTAACAGTAAAAAGTCGTTTTCGACCCTCATGTGCATAAACACACAGATCTCCCAAAATAACTGACTTTAAATTGGGAGGTTTCTCAAATGCCTTAATACACGTGACCTTGTTCGGTAACAAGAATTTAAGTATAATAACTAGAGGCCCGGTGCATGATATCATGTCAGGGTGGGGTCCCATGGACTGGAGGGCGATAGCACAGTCCCGATTGGGATGGATGGGGGCTAGCTAGACAGGGAAGGACCGCAGCCAGGGAGGTACCATTGGTAGATCAGTGTGTTTCTCCAGGGCGTGTCCAGCCTTCTCGCCCAGTACAGCCGGACCACAGTAGCAAGCTAATCTACTGGTCGGAGCATCTGCGCCTGGTGGTTAGTGCGCATCAGAGCGACTGGTTGAAGGGTCGACCAAATGGTCGATGGAATGGTCGGACACTTAGATTACACTTTTATTATATTGGACTATTTCAGATTAGTTCTTTTTATATTAATATCTTCTGTTATCATCACACTCTTCCTCAAATTCAAAGGCTTTCATTATAAGAATACATTGTCAAAGCAACACCTTTTATATCTTACCAGTATTATTTCAGAGAATAAATCTTGTATTCCGGGCTTTGGCATAAAGGCATGGTTACCTTTACATGAAAGAGCTGAAAGAAAAGAAATATTTAGGTTTTGACAATCAGGTGAGTGCACTTTGAACTTACCAGCAAGTATTGACCAAATGACATTTTGGAGTACTACAAGAGCAAGTGAAGAATTCAAACAAAGCTCAAGACAGGTACAATGAAGAAAACTCACATCAAAGAGGAACAAAGAATTGCTTACATTTACTAATGATACCTGCTCAAACACCTTGAAACAAAACGGCAATATTATAAAAACACTGCCAATTCCCAGTTTCTTCGCTGGAGGGAAAGAGAGATGAGGGAAACGTGTGTTCAATGATCTCCCTGTTTTGAAGCACCTTGAAGAACATGTGTCTGTTGTGCATGACACAGAGTAAGAACAGAATGGCAGTACACAGTGAGTACTCTGTAGTGGCTGCTACAAAGAAATAATGAGAAAGTGTTCAAGTACCACAAAGACTGCGGTACTGAAGATGTATATGAAGCCTGAAAAGATACCGTGGGTCTGAGAAAGAAACAGAGAACATTTCAACTGGGAAATTAAAAAGACAACCGAACCAAGAATACAAATCCTGAAAATAGTGTGGACCGAAAAAATTTCTTCCACAGATGATTATCATTTATTTTCTCCTACAGAAACCATGATCAAAAGTCTGCTACTATACAATTCTGGAGTCCCAACAAAAGATATCACGTCATTCCAAAAACAGAAAAAGTGTACCATCAAGAAAACAAAATAAATGTCATCAAACTGGCACTACATTAATGGAAATATATTAATTACCTGAAAAAGAATGGAATGAAATATCTTAAAGCCCAAAAGTAAAAAAAAAAAAAAAAAAAAAAAAAGACAACTAAATAATGTCACCAAAATATTATATAACCAAAGTAAAACTAGAATGAGAAAGTATTTTATAAACATCACACCAAAGGGGAAACTGAAAAATATAGTACCAGAATTAAAAAATACAGTAGAATCATTAGTGAAATATATGTTCAACTTAAAACATCAAAGAATTTGCCTGGCAGCAGTGGCTCAGTGGTTGAGCTTTGATCTAGGAACTATATCAGTGATGGTAAACCTATGACACACGTGTCAGACGTGACACGCAAACTCATTTTTTTGGTTGATTTTTCTTTGTTAAATGGAATTTAAATATATAAAATAAATATCCAAAATATAAGTCTTTGTTTTACTATGGTTGCAAATATCAAAAAATTTCTATATGTAACATGGCACCAGAGTTAAGTTAGGGTTTTTCAAAATGCTGACACGCCGAGCTCAAAGGGTTCGCCATCACTGAACTAGATAGATGGTCATGGTTTGGTTCCACGTCAGAGCACAGGCCTGGGTTGATGGCTAGATCCTGATCATGCAAGAGGCAGCCAATTGATGATTCTCTCTCTTCATCGATGTTCCAAAAGTCAATATGATTGAATAATGGGCAGAGGACCTGAATAGACATTTCCCAAACAGGATATAAAGATTCCCAATAGACATATTAAATGATGTTCAACTCATTCATCATCAGAGAAATGCAAATGGACACCACCATGAAATACCACCAAATACCTAACAGGATGCCAATCATCCATAAATCAAAAAAACAAGTATTACCAATGAAGTGGAGAAATGAGAACATTCATGCACTCTCAGCAGGATTATAAACACATTGTTGCAGCCACTAACAAAACATGATGGAGGGTTTTCCAATATTTACAAACAAGTGTCAGGTAACACAATGATTCCATTTCTGGGGATTTATACAGAGAACACAAATTCAAAAAGATATGCCCACCCATATATCCACTGCAGCACTATTTGCAACAGTAAAGATACTGGACTGGAAAAAAAGGACTATTTTTATAATGATGCTGTACCATCTATATATATATATATATAAATAAAAGCCTAAGCGACCATTATGACCAGTCGACAGCTCGACCTATCACTATGACACACACTGACCACAAGGGGACAGACACAACGCAGTCAGTGAGCTCCTACAGCCAAACTCCCACAGCCACCCAACCTCCCGCAACCCCTCCCCCGAGCCGACTGGCCCTGATTGGGACTGGGCGATACAGCGATGGCCAGCCAGGGCAAGGGATCACACCCCTGCATGACTTTGTGCACCAGGCCCCTAGTTTAAAATCAATTAAATGACTTCATTTGACTTGACGTGTAAGGAGACAAAATTTATATCTCAACTCATGTCCTTCAAGACAAGACTCACTATGTGTTTATTCCAGAAATGACACAATAGCTGCAAATATAACTTCCATGTTATTGAATATAAAACTACATTAATCTCATACCTCTCACATTTTTGAAAGGAAAATACATAACCAAGTTTGTATTTCAATCCATTGTATTAAAACGGAAACATCCAATGTATCAACTCAAACATTAAAGGAAAAATAAGAACAATAAATATGGCAATCTCAACAGAAAAAAAAAGAAGCAGCCACAGGCTGAGAAAATATTTTGTTACAGTCAACATGGCCCAGCTGGCATGGCTCAGCAGTTGATCATCCACCTATGAACCAGAAAATCATAGTTCAATTCCTGGTCAGGGAACAATACCAAGTTGTGGGCTCGATCCGAAGTAGGGGGTGTGCAGGAGGCCGCTGATCAATGATTCTCTCTTATCACTGATGTTTCTATCTCCCTCTTCCTCTCTCTTTCTCTCTGACATTAATATATATATTTAAATAAAAAAGTCAACATGTACAGGACAATTATGCTAAACACACAAGGAAGACTTCAAACTCAACATGGACAAAACAACCAACGTGAAAAGGGCCAAACATCTTAATGCACAGCACTACAAAATATATACACATAGAAAATCAGTGTGACAAGATCCTGCACGTCTTATGACACTAAGGAAATGCACATTATAACAATGAGAAGTAACAAAGAGCACAAACAAGCAACAGTAAACCACCATTGAACAGGTCATAAAATCCAGAACATTGACCATACCAAATGCCTTTGTGATGGTGGAACAACTGGAACTCCAATCACTGCTGCTGAAAACGCCAAATGCTACAGCCCCTTGAAGAGATGCTCTGGAGGTTTTTATAAAACTGAATATACACTCAGTAATTGGGCTCCTTACTCTTAAACCAAAGAATTAAGCCTTTTATCTACACAAAAGCCTATAAGGGGCTGCTTATTCATAATTTACAAAAATTGGAACCAATGCAGAGGTCCGTCAACAAGTGAATGGATAAATATACTGAAGTACATACAATGAAGTCTTATTCACTACTATAAAGAAATAATACATCAAGCCATGGAAAGACATGATAGAAACCTAGATACATAGAAGTAAGTGAAAGAATCCAATCTGCCTGCAAAGGTAGCCCAGTTGCTTAGAGGATTGTACCTATATAATAAAGTTGTAGGTTTGTATTGATGTTCTTTGTGAACGGAGACGCTGAGATGAGCTTGCCATGCAGAATTAAGTTTAGAGAAGCAGAGGGCTATTGCTAGTCAGGCAAGTAGCAAAAGCCCCCAAAGCCCTCATGGCTTTTATTCAGTGAGTACAGCAAATAACAATGGAGTACAGCAAGTGACAATGATTAACAGGCATGCTTATGAGATCATCTGAGCTAAGTTATACATTACACTATTAATTTCCTATATTATACAAAGACTCTTTCCAACTGCAGCAGTGGGCCCTCCCTTGAACTTTCCACGCCCTTATGGACTATTTATCACCTCAAGGAAAGTTCTGCCTCTGAACAATAAGTCTTGCTTGCAAGACTTTGTTCTGACGTGGCCTGCTTGAAGGCTCCCGTCCTTTCTTGGCAGAATGTCCTCTTCTAGTTAACTTCATTCCGCTTGTCCAGCTACAGTTTGATCTCTGTGCAGGGCACATACAAATAAATCAATTAATGCCCAGCTGAAGTTTCTATCTCTCTCTCTCTAATTCTCCTTTCCTCTCTGAATTCAACAAAATTTTAAAAAATCAAAAGATAAAAGAAATAGAGTGTGAATTTTGATAGAAGCTTTCCCATTTCAAATCCAGTTTGTCCCCTGGCCAGAGACATGACAGAATATTAAAATATTTTACCAAATGATATTCGAAAGCATTATTTTCTTTTCTTTTCTTTTTTTTTTTTGTTAAATATATTTTATTGATTTTTTACAGAGAGGAAGGGAGAGAGATAGAGAGTTAGAAACATCGATGGGAGAGAAACATGGATCAGCTGCCTCCTGCACGTCTCCCACTGGGGATGTGCCCGCAACCCAGGTACATGCCCTTGACCGGAATTGAACCTGGGACCCCTCGGTCCGCAGGCCAACGCTCTATCCACGGAGCCAAACCGGTTTCGGCCGAAAGCATTATTTTCTGATAGTACTTTCATGTAGACAGAATGTAAAGTGTACAAATATTGAGTTCCTAATTCATATAACAAAGCCTTTCTTTTCTACATAAAAAAAATCCCCAATTTGTTCCTTTTAAAAAAAATATATTTTTCTTGCTTTCAGAGAGGAAGGGAGAGGGAGAGAGAGAAACATCAATGATGAGAGAGAATCACTGATCTGTAGCCTCCTGACCACCCCCTATTGGGGAGCCAGTCAGCAATCTGGGCATTGGCCCTGGACCTGAATCTAACCTGGGACCATTCAGTCTGCAGGCAACTGAGCCTAGCCGCTGAGACAAACCAGCTAGGGCCCAATTTCTTCCTGGAGAGCAAAAATCTACCATAGAAAGCAGAAGCCCCTCAGAGATGTTAATATAATAAAGGAAATAAAACCCTAGAGGTGGAGTAGCAACTCCGGAAGCAAGTCAACCTCACCCAGGAAAGCCAGATTGCTGTAGTTCTCCAACATCACGTCCAGGTACAATTTCCGCTGAGCTGGGTCCAGGCATTCCCACTCCTCCTGAGAGAAATCTATGGCCACATCCCTGAAGGTCAACGGTCCCTGAAATAAAAGACACATTTACCAAGAGGTCACCAGTGGAGTTCATAATGTCACCCAACATGAAAACAGTGTTAGGAGAAGAGGCTGGGTCCTAGGGGAGTATCCTGAATCACCCAATAAGATCACTTTGGGTGATCTTTGTGTGTACTTTGAGATCACTTTGATCAGTAACATTCTCTGTTTTCTGACACTGACAAATGAGGATGACACATGTACACATATACAGCCAGAAGCCAATGTATCAAACTTAACCATCCACATCCCATCAGCTCACCCCTCACCGAGATCAGGGTTCCACTCCTCCCACATGTACACAGATCCACAGTACAGATTGTTCTTTATAAGAAAATAAACTTTAAAATTAAGACATAGGCCTAGCTGGTTTGGCTCAGTGGATACAGTGTCGGCCTGCAGACTGAAGAGTTGCAGGTTCAATTCCAGTCAAGGACACATGCCTCGGTTCCGTGCTGGATCCCCACTAGGGGTTGTACAGGAGGCAGCCGATCCATGATTCTCTCTCATCACTGATGTTTCTATCTCTCTCTCTCTTTCTCTCTCCCATCCTCTCTGAAATAAAAAAATATATTTAAAAAAATTAAATTAAGAAATGGACACAGGCATATGGATTTTTTAAGTGCTTGTTTGCATTGTTCAGGGTCAGTGGTGTATATTTCTCAGCTGTAAATGTGATGGTGGGTTGGAAGTATATCGACTTCTTCTCAAGTGTAAAGCAACCACTATGAAATGAACTCCTATGAAGACACAGATTCTGATCCAGATTCTCAGATGGGGCCTGTGTTTCCACATGTGTAACAAGCTCACTTTTTACTTTGATGTCAATGTTTCCGTATCAGGTGCCATACTTCTGAATACACAAAAAAAGAAAACAGAAGAAAAAATTCATACCAAACTTAGAACTAAAATGGTCGTTAATGGAATTTACAGTTGTCATGAAATAGGACACATATGAACCATAATCTTAGTGGAAAATTTCACATGAGTAATCTTAGAATAAGATTATTCTGCCTGGTCCAGCGGTTCAGTGCTGACCCATGAACCAAGAGGTCAGATTTGATTCCCGGTCTGGACTCAATGCCAGTGTGGGCTGTGCAGGAGGCAGCCAATCAATAATTGTCTCTCATCACTAATGTTTCTAACTCTCTCTACCTCTCTCTTCCTGTCTGAAATCCATAAAAATGTTCTTAAAAAAAAAAAAGAAAAAATAGCTGAAATCATGTTAACCGTTTAAACATAGAGACATACACTTCACTACTATGAAATCAAGATGGTTTAGTGATTCTGTAAATCTCATGAATCCATTTGTGTATGTTCCCCTTTGTGTTTTATAAACACAATAAGGAGAGAAACATAAGGATACAAAACAAGTTAGACTTATTATTTCCTTTTTGTGGTTGTAAATCCTTACCTGAGGAGATTTTTAGCATTGACTTTTCAAAAGTGGAAGGCAGGGAGGTAGAGCCAGGAAAGGGAAAGACAAGGAGGGGAGGAAGGAAGGTTAGAGAGAGGGTGTGTGTGGGGGAGAGAAAGAGAGAAAGAGAGAGAGAGGGAGAAATGTGAGAGACAGAGAGATACATGGATTGGCTGCCTACCACGGGTACCCAGGACCTACTTGCCCTGGACAAGGAATCAAAACCTCCACCACTGATCCACACCAGCCTGGTGGAACTAATTTTTCTTACTACTAAATTTCATTCAAAATTTTTATGTGTCATCAGTGCAGAGCTATGTTGTAGAAATTTAATGTAACTGAACACACATTAATAATATCATTCTTGGAAACTTTCTAGAAAATACAAAAAGTGATCATGTACAGTATGTCCGTTACATGAGTATAAAATATAATGAAAATTTAAATAATCAAGGCCTGATTATATTAAGCTCCCATGAAAAAGCCAATGATCTATAGGAAATAAACGTTAAGTCCTTCATTTTCAAAAGGAAACACAAACTAAGAGGGACATTTCCAGATGTGAAGTGATGGTCTTTGCACAACTTTGATTAAACCCCTACTAACCCTTCTTACAGAGAAAGGGGGACTATTAACTCTACGGTGAGTGAGTGCAGCACCTCTGCCACGTGAACATCAGGTAGAGAGAGGTCGTCAAACTTTTTAAACAGGGGGCCAGTTCACTGTCCCTCAGACATTCCACACATGTGCACTGCGGGCCCGGAACGAGTCGGCTGCTAAGCAGGGCAGGCAGCGGTGGCAAAAACACTTGGCAGGCCGGATAAATGTGGATAAATGTTTTCCGCGGGCCGCATGTGGCCCGCGGGCCATAGTTTGAGGACCCCTGAGGTAGAGTGAGACAATGGGCATCAGTTGACTGAGGCACATGGAAGGGCAGGTCACCACTGTTGGCATTACTGGCAAAAATATATCAATAAATAAATAATTATGAGGAAATAATCAAAAACAAACATTAATTTTTGCACGTGTCAATGCATGTGTACCTCTCCTGTTCTGTAAGCTAATAGTATATTTACCTACCAAGTCTTTCGTACTAATCTAGTGAGTGACTCTCTTTTATTTACTCTTCTTAGAACTTTGTGAGCTATTCTGAGCAGTAAAATGTGCATTTTCTTACCCCTGATAAAAAGCTGATGCTGCAGCCACTTGAGCCTAAAACCTACATTTCCCTTCTTCAAGACACAAGAGCCTCTGACCCTATCCCAATAGAGATGTTAGACATGAATGCCTTCCCAGGTGGATCTGTCATAAAAGGGATGTTTTTAATAGTTGAGAGTCATTAATTAAAGGTGGGAATGCTTCCTTACCTTGTGGAGGTTGCAAAAAATGAAGGCAGAGAAGGCTCTGGGAAAAAGGAGAGAAGTATATCCCGGCCAGAGTGGTTCAGAAGTAGAGGGTTGACCTATGAACCAGGAGGGCAAGGTTGCATTCCTGGTCAGGACACACTCCAGGTTTGACTGGATCCCCAGTGGAGGATGTGCAGGAGGCAGCTAATCAAAGATTCACTCTGCTCACTGATGTTTCTCTCTCTCTCTCTCTCTCTCTCCCTTTCCTTCCAATTCTGAAATCAATAAAAACATATTAAAAAAAGAGAGAGGGAGCCCTAACCGGTTTGGCTCAGTGGATAGAGCGTCGGCCTGTGGACTCAAAGGTCCCAGGTTTGATTCCGGCCAAGGGCACGTACCTTGGTTGCAGGCACATACCCAACGGGAGTGTGCAGGAGGCAGCTGATTGAACTCTCTCATCGATGTTTCTAACTCTCTAGCCCTCTCTCCTTCTCTCTGTAAAAAATCAATAAAATATATTTTTTTAAAAATTGAGGGAAAAAAAAGAGAGGGAAATATAGAAACTGCTTTCACTGGCTATCGTAAGAAAAAAGGAAAGAAATAAGAAAAGGAAAACAACCAAAAAAGGCAAGAACATCAGAAGTAGAGAAATATGGAGGAGAGGACGGAGCCCAGAGAGATGAAGGGGGGCTGAAAGAGAGATGGGTCCTGGTGAACCCAAGTGCAGGCAACAAAGGGGTAGGCACTTCAGACAGGGAGACTGGTTCAGAGGAGATAAATTGGGGGGAGCAAGTGCACGCACAGAAAGGGGGGTTTAGGGATGACTGAGCAGAGGGAGAAGCAGCACAGAGTCAGCCCACTGTGAGTAAGAGGACATTCTGTAACAAGGGCAGCAGAGGGGGACACAGGCATAGGGAGAGAAAGAGAAATATATCAACATATATTCAAGGAAAGGCAAACATAGCCTCTGAGAGAGGACCATTCTTTTACCTGAGAAGCAGCCATTTGGTCCTGGTCCTGATCGGGGGTCTGGGTTGTTTCCTCAGGTGACAGTATGTTGAGGAGTCACAGAATGTGCCTTCAAAGGCGTCCCCACAGCCTGTTAATCAGCTCAGCTCACACTCACAGTCAGGAGGACCTGGAAATGAGGAAAGGGCCACCCCTCCTGTCCTTGGTCACAGGAGTGTCAGGAACAATGAGCTCCTACATGGAGACCACACAGTGAGGGGTTTTATTCTGTCTTCATGTGTCTGCCCTTCCAAAGATATCCATACGCTCCTACAGCAATGAGAGCACATACTGCCCAGTTGTAACTGCAAATCCAACACAGCACCCCTAACCTTCCCTGAAAAAGTCTGCCCTAAAGTCCATGACAGGGCATCTTTAACTAGTTTTTTCCTGGGGCCTGTAAAGCTCCCCCAGAGCTGTTTTCAATAGCGCTGGGTACCAGACATCAGACCCAGCACCCCTGAGACCTCTGAGTAGTGGGAGGGGGTGAAGCAGTTAGTTGTACACCTGCAGGTTTCCCAGGCAGATTTCCTCCCTCTTGTCCCAGGAAATTACGGAGAATAGATCTTCATGCTAAAGCCTTTGGGGAAAGTTATCTATTGAAATATGCTCATCAAATGACTTCACCATGAATAGATGGGCTCTGTGGGAACAAAGTTCGAGTTCAACCCAGTCCATCCTTCAAAATTTTTAGAGAATGGACAAGAGGGACTTAGGGGAACAGCTCCTTTGTGGCTCACAGACACTAATTCTACAAATCGCATGAAGAGAAGGAAAGAAGTGCTGAACATTGGACCAACTCACAGAACTAGCTTCTGACTGCTGAGATCATTGACATTGTGCTCTATCCCATTTCACTCAAGGGAGAGAGTGTCTGCCTGCACAGTGAAGCGTCTCAGGTTGAATTCTGGTCAAGGGCACATGCAAGGGTTTGGGGCTCCATCCCCAGGAGGGGGTGTACAGGAGGCAGGTAATCAGTGATTCTCTCTTATCATGGAGATTCCAATCTATCTCCCTATCCCTTCCTTTCTCTGAAATCAACAAAAAAATATATTTTTTAAAAAAGATCATAGACATCCTTACCAAGTATATGCTGAGATCACCTCATGTGACTAAGTACCAACCAATGCCTGAAGGTGTGATAGACAGTAGAAAGGATGCAGGGCTCAGAATCTGAAGTGCACACAATATATTGAAAACCGAAAACAATTAGGGTTGTTTCTTTTTAATGTAATTTTTTCTAGGTTTAAAGCTTGAAAAAGGTGGAGACCACATTATATTAAGAAAACAATAATAAGAGGTGAGTGTGAGATGTCACCAGTGGTGATTTCAGAAGTTAATGACCATTTACATGAATTAAATATCAGAGCTAGAAAAACCAAATTCCTGGATCAAAAAAAAGATTGATGCTTCTAATATTCCTTGATATAGATAGCATCATGTGGGGGCATACTCAGTCATTTCTTGTCCCAGGTCACCTCCTTCTAGCCATCCTTCTCAGAAAATGACAAGGGACCCATCAGGAACATACGAGTCTCTCCCTCTGTGTGAATAAAGGTTGCAAATGGAAGCAAATAATTATACAATTGCAAGCCTTATGAACGGGAGATTTGTAACTCTCATTCAAATCTGTTTAAACAACATAGTTGTTAAATTAAACATATACAGCCAGAAGCCAATGTATCAAACTTAACCATCCAACTAAGATGGCGGCATAGGTAAACACCGGGAAATTATCGCCTCACACAACAATTGAAAATTACCGCAAAGGACTGAGCAAACATCATCCAGAACAACAGGAAGGCTGGCTGAGTGTAAATTCCACAACTAGAAGGAAAGAAAAGCACGCTGAGAGCCAGAGGAGCTGCGGAGGTGAAGTGCAGAGGTACGGCGGCGCGCGCGCGCGAGGAAAGGGGGTAGCACCTGAGGACGCGGCTGTCTTTTTGAATCACAAACTCCTGACTGCTCTGAACTCCGGTTCCGGGAAGTCTCTGGGGACCCAGGACTCATACGGGGAGAGGCTGGTCTGTCCGGCAGCGAGCGAACTTGAGGGCGGCTTTCCCTCAGAGGTGCTTGCAGCCGTTACCGGAACACTGAGACGCGCGACTCCGGGCGGAGAATCGGCCATGGCTGCTTTCTCCACCCTCTGACTCCCTGAGACCCCGCCCCACCCAGGCTGCGGCAGAGGCTTTTGCATGTGAATGTACCTAACTGCAGCCGAACCAGGCAGACCTGGAACTTCCAAGAGAAGGCCCAAGGCCCCGCAGCGGCTTGCATTGCTTCACAGCTGAGCCTCTTCGTGGCTCCTGCTGTGTGGCCTCAGGCAGAGGCTGAATTAGCACCTCCTTAGATCCAGGAGCCACTGTACCCAGTGGTCAGAGGGGGTCCATCCAGACTGCAACTCCTCAGATCCATAAGGGACGCACTCAGGGAGCAGACTCAGTGAGCACCAAAGCCCCACTGAAGCAAGTCTTGCCCCAGAAGGGTGTCTTCAGCACAGAAGTTCTCCCACTTTAGACACAGCTGATTCTCACAGCCAATTGGCCTGGAGGTCAATTCCTCCCAGTGATTCTACAACAACCAAGGCACCAAGAGTGCACCAAGAGTGTCCACCCCAGGTAACTGGGGAGGCTGAGCTACTGGGCCCTACAGGACACCAGGCACACAGGGCCACTCTATCAACACAGGGAAGCTGCCAAAATGCGGAGACAAAGAAACAGGTCACAAATGGCAGAAATGGAGGAAAGCAAACGATTGGATATAGAGTTTAAGGCCACGGTTATAAGGTTTTTCAAGAATTTTATGGAAACCGCCGATAAATTTAATGAATCCCTCAATAAGTATAGTGAGACCATGGAGGACATGAAAAAGGACCAACTAGAAATTAAGCATACACTGTCTGAAATAAAGAATAATTTACAGAGATCCAGCAGCAGAAAAGAGGATCCCAAGAATCAAGTCAAAGATTTGAAATACAAAGAAACAAAAAATACCCAACCTAAAAAAAAAAAGAAAAGAGATTCCAAAAATATGAAGATAGTGTAAGGAACCTCTGGGACAACTTCAAGCGTACCAACATCAGAATTATAGGGGTACCAGAAGGAGAGAGAGGGCAAGATATTGAAAACCTTTTTGAAGAAATAATGACAGAAAACTTCCCCTACCTGGTGAAAGAAATGGACTTCCAAGTCCAGGAAGCGCAGAGAACCCCAAACAAAAGGAATCCAAAGAGGACCACACCAAGACACATCATAATTAAAATGCCAAGAGCAAAAGACAAAGAGAGAATCTTAAAAGCAGCAAGAGAAAGACAGTCAGTTACCTACAAGGGAGTACCCATACGACTGTCAGCTGATTTATCAACAGAAACCATGCAGGCCAGAAGAGAGTGGCAAGAAATATTCAAAGTGATGAATAGCAAGAACCTGCAACCAAGATTACTTTATCCAGCAAAGCTATCATTCAGAATAGAAGGTCAGATAAAGAGCTTCACGGATAAGAAAAAGCTAAAGGAGTTCATCACCACCAAACCAGCATTATATGAAATGCTGAAAGGTATTCTTTAAGAAGAGGAAGAAGAAAAAGGAACTCTTACCATTTGCCACAGCATGGATGGAACTTGAGAGCGGATAAATACCACAGGATCTCACTCATTTGTGGAATATAATGAACAACATAAGCTGATGAACAAGGACTGATCCAGAGACGGAGAGGCATTGATTGGACTGTCGGGACTTGGAGGGAAGGTAGGGGAGGGTGGGGGTAAGGGGGAAAGATCAACCAAAGGACTTATATGCAAGCATATAGGCCTAATCAATGGACATGGACAACGGGGGGGTGAGGGCATGAGCGAGGGTGGGGGGGATGGGGGGTAGAGGGTAACGTGGGGACAAGGACACATATGTAATATCTTAATCAATAAAAAAATATATATATTAAAACAAAACAAAACAAAACAAAAACAAACAAACAAACAAAAAAAAACTTAACCATCCACATCCCATCAGCTCACCCCTCACCAATTGTAGGGTTCCCATCCTCCCACTACTATGTATTTCTGTCTGTGGATCTGTCTCTGTCTCCTGCTCCCTTTCTCTCCACTGCGGTCCTTTCCTGTGTGCCCCCGCCTCCCTCCTCTTTTCTCTCTGTCTGTCCTACACCTGGACCATGAAACTCCTGAAACCTACTTCCCTTCAGGGGCTCTTTCTCCTGGTCTCTGAGGCTCCATCTCCACCCACGTCTGTGTCTTCCCCTCCCCACGCCCATGGCCCCTCTGCTTCCTGTTCCCGTCTGTCCGCTCCCACAGCTGCTGACTCAGGGCTGCTCCCTCTGCTCCCTCATCCCTGAGCCCCCCTTTCTGTCCCTGCACTCGCTCCCCAACTCTTCTCCTCTGAACCAGTGTCTCTGTCTCAAGTGCCTCCTCCTGTGCGGGCCCCACTTCTGCTCCCCAGGACCCGCTCCCTCTCAGCCCCCCTTCCTCTCTCGGGGCTCCCCCTTCTCCCTGTGTCTCCACTTCCTTCCTCCTCAGTCTACATTCTCCAGTGACCCCCTCACTCCTACAGTCGCCGTCCAGTCCCCCTCCAAACCCACTATGGGCCCCTCTCTGTGGACCCCTCGCTGCCCTTCCTCCCGCCCACGTGTCTGTCTCTCACTCCCTCTCCTGACCCCCCAGCCTGGGCCCCCGCCCCCTGCAGTCACCGCGCCCACAAAGCGCCTCCCTGCGGGCGGGTCGCGACTTCAGGGGACACCGCGTCCTTCCCCCTGAGCCCCCCCATGGACACTGTGCTCCCCGGGCACGCAGACCCCTTATTAAATGGGGGTGGGGCTAGGAGGGGGGTGCAGACCCCAGGACGGCAGGCATCCGGGCCCTTTGGGCGGGAAGCGCCGGGCGGGGGGAGGGGCGCTAAGGGCGGGAACCCCCTGACCCAGACTCTCAGCCCCGCGGGGAGGACCGGCGGCCCCGGGAACGGTTTTCAGCGGGAAAACCGCGCGGCAGGCGGAGGCCACAGCCACAGGCGGAGAGACCCCGGGCCGGGCCTCCGTTTCCTCCCAAAGGAACGTGGCGCCCGCACCGCGCAGCCTCCCGGGACCGGACTCACCGCTGAGAGAGGCTCCGGGGCGGGGACCCCAACAAGGACTTCAGCGCCGGCAGCGCCCTCAGCCTTCCCTGCGGGGAGGGGGACGGGGAGCGTCAGCTTTAAAGACAAACACCCTCCTCAGGGGGAACCGCCACCTTCCCCTCACAGCCGCTTCCGCTTCTACAAGGAACTGCGCATGCGCCTCCCTGCGGGGTGGGCGGGGCCAGAGCCTGAGCTGAGCGGCTCCGCGGTGGGGGCGGGGCCGAGCCCGGCGGCCAGGCCTGTGCAGGGACAGAGGGAGGGAGGGCGGGGCAGGAGCCAGGGGGCAGCCCCGGGTCCCTACACCTCATCCAATGGCAGTGGTTCCCAACCTTCTGGCCGTTTAAATACTCTTCCTCGTGTTGTGACCCAACCATACAATTATTTTCGTTGCAACCTCATGACTGTAATGTTGCTACTGTGATGGATCATAATGTAAATATCTGATATGCAGGATGGTCTTAGGCGACGCCTGTGAAAGGGTCGTTCCACCGCCAAAGGGTCGCGACCCACAGATTGAGAACCGCTGGCCACAGCACAGCCCTTCCTGGGGGAGTTTCCCACGTCATTCTTAAGGTTTTGGCTGGTGATGCGGCTGCGAAAGGATTCACAAGGGAGAGAAGAGACATGAGCAGAGAGAGGGCGTTTATTTTACTTCTTTAAAGGGAGGAAAGGGCCAGGTGCCCTCTGAAGGCACAAAGCACCCCAGATAGAGGGGCTGTTCCTTTATTAGGGTGCTAGCGAGTAAATGGTAGCTGTGGCAAAAGCATAAAGAGGGAGGAGGGAGGAGGAACCTGGAATTCACACTGAAGTTTCCCAGCTCCCAGAGGCTGTGCTTAGAGCTACTGGCTGGTCTGCCCTTCAGCTGCAGGTGTCCCAGGGAGGGGTCTTTCCAAGGATCTTCACAAGCCGGGAACACATTCTTTTTTTTTTTTTAATATATTTTATTGATTTTTTACAGAGAGGAAGGGAGAGAGATAGAGAGTTAGAAACATCGATGAGAGAGAAACATCGACCAGCTGCCTCCTGCACATCCCCCACTGGGGATATGCCCGCAACCCAGGTACATGCCCTTGACCGTAATCGAACCCGGGACCCCTCAGTCCGCAGGCCGATGCTCTATCCACTGAGCCAAACCGGTCTCGGCGGGAACGCATTCTTACAGTGAAGTTACAGAGAATTCAAAAGGTGGGCAGATTGGGTTTGAAACCAGAAACTTTCTGCTTCTGATTTGCTTGGGTCATAAATCCGCAGGCCGGGGGAGGGAAAGGACAGCATTTTCAAGTTAATTAATACAATCATAGGAGGGGACTTTAACTTCCCATTGACATCAATGAATAGATCTCCCAGAGAAATAAATCAGTAAGGAAAAAGTGCTCTTAAATGGCACTTTAGACAAGATGGATTTTATGTTTATAGTTGCGATTTTCTTTTCTTTTTTTAAAATATATTTTATTGATTTTCTACAGAGAAGGGAGAGGGATAGAGTTACAAACATCGATGAGAGAGATCGACCAGCTGCCTCCTGCACGCCCCCCAGTGGAGATGTGCCTGAAACCAAGGTACACGCCCTTGACATGAATCGAACCCGGGACCCTTGAGTCCACAGGCCGACGCTCTACCCACTGAGCCAAACCGGTTTGGCAATAGAGCCTTTAAGAACATTCCTAGGATGCTCTTATTCTGATAAGCTTCTTCTCTCCCTCTTTTTTAAAAAAAAAAATTCTTGATATATAATTTAAACAACATTTGGAATCTAGTGAGAGTTGGTGGCATTTAACCCTACCAGACCGCTGTACCGATTTTTCGGTAATTTCCACACAAAGGTGGAATATTGGCGCTAGATGAAAGGTAGATGAAAGATAGACCTATTTTCTACAATGTCTCCAAGTTCCATCTTATTCTAACCACTTGTTTGCATGTAACTATTTTTCTATATCATGTTGGTTTTTTCTCTTTAATGCTCAGGAGCCCAGCTATAGGGGACAGTTAAGTTCAGGGCCTCAGGTCTGGTAGGATTAAGGTCCAAATAAGCTAGAGAGCTAGTTGGTGCACTTTAAAGGACTCAAGTGACCAAAGGCTTGAGTTTTGTGCTCCGGAAGCTGGAACCAGGTTAGCATAAAGACTAGAGTAACAGGCCAAACACACTTTCCTCTGAACCAGGGACTGGTGGTGCCGCATGCTGCATTGCCTGGCAGAGGGTCATCGCTTTCCGCTAATGGTGGGAAGTCAGCTCAGTTGGCAGCGAGTGGGATGGGGCTCCAAATTAAAGAGTATAGGAAAGTAAATCTCTCTCTCTTCAGACAGTGCCTTTGTTCTTATTCATAAAATACATTATAATGACACCATTATTTAAACCTAGTGTCCACGCAGCAGCCTTTATCTGCATTCATAGGTATGCCATGTATTAAACATAGTTATTGTTGGGCATTTGAACTTTTTCTTTTTTTTTTTTTTTTTTTATTTTTTTTTTTAATATATTTTAGTGATTTTTTTACAGAGAGGAAGGGAAAGAGATAGAGAGTCAGAAACATCGATGAGAGAGAAACATCGATCAGCTGCCTCCTGCACACCCCCCACTGGGGATGTGCCCGCAACCCAGGCACATGCCCTTGACCGGAATCGAACCTGGGACCCTTCAGTCCGCAGGCCGACGCTCTATCCATTGAGCCAAACCGGTTTCGGCGAACTTTTTCTTTCATAGGAAATAATGCCTCTATTAGGCGTCTTTGAAAATGGTTTGTTTTTCTTCTTTGAATTATTTCCTTAGGATAGGATTACTGGGTCAAGTATATGAACATTTTTATGGCTCTTGATACAGATTAGCCTTCGAGAACTGAATCCGGTTGCCATCAGTGATGTGAGAATTACTACCCCCATCCCCTGGAGCACTGCCATGCTTTTGGTATTTTTCAAATTGTATATTTGTGAAATGAGGCCTCAGTGTTACCCCTTCTGTAAATTACAGGTCACCCCATCCAAGCCCTTTTCACCTGTCCCTGCCTTGGCCTGCGCTCTCTTGCAATCCAGGACCCTTGGAAGATGTCGCAGAGCCGGTTTCAGCCCGATCCCTTGGGAGGGTGCAAGACATAGGGGCTTATGGCTGGCAAGTGCTGCTGTGGCAGGAGGAGCCTCTCCCAATAGGGACTGATTTGGCGTGAGCCCGCAGCTGTCACAGTGGGGCTGGGATGAGCAGGAGGGGCAGGTATGAGCTGCAGGCTGTGTTGGACTGTGGGTTTCGGCCTGATCTGTGCAGGCCACCCGGAGGGAACCCACCTGTGCATGAACTTGTGCACTGTGTCTCTAGAACAATGATGGCGAACCTATGACACGCGTGTCAGAGGTGACACGCAAACTCATTTTTTTGGTTGATTTTTCTTTGTTAAATAGCATTTAAATATATAAAATAAATATCAAAAATATAAATCTTTCTTTTACTATGGTGGCAAATAGCAAAAAATTTCTATATGTAACATGGCACTGGAGTTATGTTTTTTTCAAAATACTGACACGCCGAGCTCAAAAGGTTTGCCATCACTGCTCTAGTATATATCTTAATAATAAAAGGCTATTATGTCAATGGTCGTCAATCCCTCATGGCATAATGACGGATCAGCAGGAGGTGCTACAGCTCCGCTCGAGCCTTCGCCCCACCCGAACAGCCCGGTGCGCAGGCAGCATCTACAGAGAATCACAGTGTGCTGGCAGGGTCCCTGGTGCATTGCAGGGCACCGGCAATATCCACAGAGGGTGCGAGGTGTTGCAGGGTGGAGCACCAGCAGCATGCCCAGAGCGTGTGAGGCGTCGTGAGGTGGGGCGTCTAGTATATTAAAAAAGTCAACATGTACAGGGCAATTGTTGAAAACACACAAAGAAGACTACAAAGTCAACATGGACAAAAGAACTAATATAAAAAGGGCCAAAAACCTTAGCCACTCGCCTGCCTACCTGATCGCCGCCTAACTGCCCTCCCCTGCTGGCTTGATTGTCCACAACTAGCCTCCCTTGCCAGCTATCCTTGACCACATGGGGGCAGCCATCTTGTGTGAGGGCGTGAGGATCAATTTGCATATTACCACTTTATTATATAGGATAGATAGGTGTTAGCAAAAACACGAGTGGTAGTCTACATACTTCATGAATATAGACCTAAATATTTGCCAAATTCTGACATCAGACATTACATTAGTAAAACTGCAAACTACTGAGTTACATGGGAATGAGGGGCTGATGTGGGACAGGAAGAGCTTTACATGCTGTGATTTTATCACTGCAAAATAAACGGCAGCCTAGAAGATAAAGTGAAAAAGACATAAATGAACATGAAATGTGACATGAAAGAAATAGAATTAATTTTTTTGAGATCACTGAGCAGGGCAGCCAGGGAAAGGTGTCCTCTCTCCACATGCAACGTTCATGCCAATTCTGCATCCTGGCTACATTATTGGTACTACATCACTGGTACAACCACATCACTGGTACTGTAATATATCTGTTAGTTATGGAAAACCTATTAGACAAACAGCACAGTCCTGAGTGTACTTCCCTTCACCTCAACATCACAACCACAAATTGAAATGCCCTCATAAAGTTTTCATCCCAAAATGATGGCACAGGAAGGGAATTAACTTTAAAAATATCATTTAAAAACATCAGAACTATTTTAAAAGATTCAATCAATAGTATAATTCTCTAATAGATCAAAAAATGTGTGCCTTACAATGTATCCAATATACCATGATAAAGTGTACATAAGTGAAGTCCATATAATATACAACAGCTCACAGATCTTTTTTTAAAAATATTTTTATTAATTTCAAAGAGGAAAGGAGACAGAAACATCGATGAGAGAATCACTGATCAGCCACAACCTGCACGCCCCCACTGGGGATCAAGCTCACAGCCCAGGCATGTGCCCCTGACTGGAATCAAACCAGGGACCCATCAGTCTGCAGGCCAACACTCTATCCACTGAGCCAAACCAGCCAGGGCCAGCTCATAGATCTTTAAGGCAGAAACAACCAACTCCATGATTTCACACACATACCAGGAATAAAATATAGCAACATCAAGTGATATGGAAGTAAGATCAAATTTATTTTGAAAATACTTCATATGATTTCAATTTAAATGAGATAACACTCTAAATAATTGTACATATGGAAACATTAATTCTGTAGATATATTCAAGTATACAAAACATTACCTAACTACATTTAAAGTTTGGAGTATACTGTAGTAAACATTCTGATGTAGAACAATACTGAAAGGCATTTTGGCTACCTATCTAGTGTGAATTCAGTGATACATTAAAATTCATAAGCAATTACATAGTTGGATAAAGCTTTTACATCTTAAAGTCATTTTAAAGTATAAATTCCTTGGGTTTTTGTAAGTTACATATATATTTTAAAAGTCCATCCTCCTATATCATAAATATTGAACTTCTATCCAATTACAATCCCTGGTATTGACTGGGGCTGTAGGTCTAACTGTATGATCTCCCACGTTCTTCACATTTAATTAAGGTTTCCCTCTAGAACAGCCGTGGGCACACTATGGCCCGCGGATCTGGCTCGTTTGAAATGAATAAAACTAAAAAAAGACCGTACCCTTTTATATGATGTTTACTTTGAATTTATATTAGTTCACACAAACACTCCATCCATGCTTTTGTTCCGGTATCCGGTCCAGTTTAAGAACCCATTCTGGCCCTCGAGTCAAAAAGTTTGCCCACACCTGCTCTAGAATGAATTCCAATGTGAGGAATAAGCTACAGATGCTGATTAAAGTCTGTAGGACACTGTTTAAATTTGTATTGTTTCTCCCCAGTATGAATTCTGACGTTGTGTAAGGTTTGCACACTAACTAAGCTTTGTCACATTCTTTATATCTGCTGGACTTTGATCCAATAATAATCACCAGATGTTGTATGAGATACAAATAAGGATATACACTTTGACATATGCCTCATAATTTTTAAGACTCAATTTTATCATTTTCAATGACGATTCAACCATGGTTAAATCTTTGGATGAAAACTTTATAGTACTGCTGTTTCTCTTCAGAATGATTCCTAAAATGTTCAGTAAATTTGACCAAAGGCTAATGGCTTTCTCACATTTTTTACAATATAAGGCTTCCCTCCACTATAAAATCTCTGATGTAAATTTTAAGCGATGGGTAAATGCTCTAACCCATTCTCTATATCTGTAAGGTCTCTTTTTGTTCTGATGTTGATCAAGTACAGTAATACATTGGCTTTTAAAGGCTTTTCACATTTTTCACATTCATAAGGCTTCCTTCCAGTATGAATTCTGTGATGTTCAATAAGTTCTCACACCTGGTCAAGGACTTACCACACTCCTCACATCTGAAAAACTTCTCTCAATTATGAACTCTCTGCTGTACGGTAACACAGGAACACTGATAAATAGCTTTGTTACATTTTCTACATTTATAGGGCTTCTCTCCAGAATGAACTCTCTGATGCTTTGTAAGATCTGAGGAGCTGCCAAAGGATTTGCTGCATTCTCTACATTTATAAGGCTTCTCTCCAGTGTGAACTCTCTGATGACGAGAAAGGGATGAGGACTGGCTGAAGGCTTTGCCACATTTATTACATTTACACGGCTTCTCTCCAGTATGAATTCTCTGGTGGCTGGTAAGGTTTGATGACCCAGTGAAGGCTTTGCCACATTCTCTACATGTACAAAGCTTCTCTCCGGTGTGAACCCTCTGATGATAATTAAGAGATGAGGACTTGGTAAGGGCTTTGTCACATTCATTAGATTTATAAGGCTTCTCCAGAATGAACTCTCTGATGCATAGTAAGGTCTGAAGAGAAGCCAAAGGATTTGCCACATTCTCTACATTTATAAGGCTTCTCTCCATGGAGAACTCTCTGATGATTTCTAAGGTGTGAGGACTGCCTGAAGGCTTTGCCACATTCTCGGCATTTATAAGGTTTCTCTCCAGAATGAACTCTCTGATGCTTAGTAAGCTCTGAGGAGGTGCCAAAGGATTTGGCGCATTCTCTACATTTATAAGGTTTCTCTCCAGTGTGAACTCTCTGATGAGAAGTAAGCTGTGAGGACTGGCTATAGGCTTTGCCACATTCTGTGCCTTTATAAGGCTTCTCTCCATGGTGAACTCTCTGATGATAATTAAGAGATGCTGCAAAACTGAATGCCTGGCCACATTCTTTACATTTGAAAGGCTTCTCACCAGTATGAACTCTGTGATGTTGGTTAAGGGATGAAGAGTAGCTGAAGGCTTTGCCACATTCTCTACATTTATAAGGCTTCTCTCCTTGGTGAACTCCCTTATGATAATGAAGGGATGATGCCAACCTGAATGCCTTGCCACATTCTTTACATTTGAAAGGCTTCTCTCCAGTATGAACTCTCCGATGCGTAGTAAGCTGTGAAGAGGAGCCAAAGGATTTGGCGCATTCTCTACATTTATAAGGTTTCTCTCCAGTGTGAACTCTCTGATGAGTAGTAAGCTGTGAGGACTGGCTATAGGCTTTGCCACATTCTCTGCATTTATAAGGCTTCTCTCCAGAATGAACTCTCTGATGCCTAGTAAGGACTGAGGAGTTGCAAAAGGATTTGGCACATTCTCTACATTTATAAGGCTTCTCTCCACGGTGAACTCTCTGATGAGAAGTAAGGTGTGAGAACAGGCTAAAGGCTTTGCCACATTCTCTACATTTATAAGGCTTCTCTCCAGTATGAACTCTCTGATGTTGATTACGGGATGAAGAGTGGCTGAAGGCTTTGCCACATTCTCTACATTTATAAGGCTTCTCTCCAGTATGAACTCTCTGATGTTGATTAAGGGATGAAGAGTGGCTGAAGGCTTTGCCACATTCTCTACATTTATAAGGCTTCTCTCCAGTATGAACTCTCTGATGATAATTAAGGGATGATGCGAAACTGAATGCCTTGCCACATTCTTTACATTTGAAAGGCTTCTCTCCAGTATGAACTCTGTGATGATACTTAAGGGATGAGGGCAAACTGAATGCCTTGCCACATTCTTTACATTTTAAAGGCTTCTCTCCAGTATGAACTCTCTGATGATACCTAAGGGATGAGGGCAAACTGAATGCCTTGCCACATTCTTTACATTTGAAAGGCTTCTCTCCAGTATGAACTCTCTGATGATACTTAAGGGATGAGGGCAAACTGAATGCCTTGCCACATTCTTTACATTTGAAAGGCTTCTCTCCAGTATGAACTCTCTGATGATAACGAAGGGATGAGGAGTCCCCAAAGGCTTTGCCACATTCTGTACATTTGTATTGCTTCTCACCAGTATGAACTCTCTGATGTCTATTAAGGTGGGAGGACTCACTAAAGGCTTTGCCACATTCTCTACATTTGTAAGGTTTCTCCCCAGTGTGAATTCTCTGATGAATTCTAAGTCTTGAGGAACACCTAAAGGTTTTGTCACATTCTGTACATTTATAAGGCTTCTCTCCAGTATGAACTGTTTGATGTTGTTTTAGTTTTGCGAACTCAATGAATGCTTTGCCACATTCGGTGCATTTGTAAGGCTTTCCTCTAGTATGAATACGCTTATGACGATTAAGGTGGGAGGACTCACTAAAGGCTTTGACACATTCGCTACATTGGTAAGGTTTCTCTCCAGTATGAACTTTCCGATGTTGAATCACTTGTGAGGCATAGAGGAATGCTTTACCACATTCTGTACATTTAGAAGGTTTCTCTCCAGAATGAATTCTCTGATGTTCAGTAAGTTTTGAGGCCTGTCTAAAGACTTTGCCACGTTCTCTACATTTGTAAGGGTTCTCCCCAGTGTGAATTCTCTGATGAATTCTAAGTGTTGAGGAACACCTAAAGGCTTTGTCACATTCTGTACATTTATAAGGCTTCTCTCCAGTATGGACTGTTTGATGTTGTTTAAGTTTTGTGGACTCAATGAATGCTTTGCCACATTCTGTGCATTTGTAAGGCTTCTCTCCAGTATGAATACGCTGATGACGATTAAGGTTGGAGGACTTACTAAAGGCTTTGCCACATTCTCTACATTTGTAAGGTTTCTCTCCAGTATGAACACCCTAAATATTAGAGAAAGAAGAATAAATCCTTGTTTCAAAGATTGCCAAAAACCCAGCAAGCATGACTCAGCAGTTGAGCTTCTTTTTTTTTTTTTTTTTTTTTTTTTTAAATATACTTTATTGATTTTTTACAGAGAGGAAGGGAGAGAGAGATAGAGAGAGTTAGAAACATCGATGAGAGAGAAACATCGATCAGCTGCCTCCTGCACATCTCCCACTAGGGATGTGCCCGCAACCCAGGTACATGCCCTTGACCGGAATCGAACCTGGGACCCTTCAGTCCGCAGGCCGACGCTCTATCCACTGAGCCAAACCGGTTTCGGCTAGCTTCTAAGTATAAACAAGAAGATCCCGGTTTCATTCCCAGTGTGGGCACATGACCCAGCTGGGGGATCGGTCCCCAGTGGGAGGCATACAGGAGGCAGCCAATGAAGGATTTTCTCTCATCACTGATATTTTCCCCTCTCTCTTACTGTTCCCTACTCTCTGAAATCAATAAAACCACGTTTTTCATAAAAAAAATCATAAAAGATTGCCAAATTGGGCACATTTTATTATATAGATACACTATAAATTTATACCTCTTAGAAATGATTTAATGAAAGTTTAATCCCATTCTACCTTTAAAACAATTTCAATGATTATTTACTCTAGAGACTACATGAGTTACTAGTTTTTCTAGCTTTCCTTTCCACGGCTGGGTAACAATAAAAAGTTGTTTTCAACCTTCATGTCCAGAAACACCCTTATCAGCCAATGGAACTGACTTTAATAAGGGAGGTTTCCCAAATCCAAAGTACACCTGACATGGTTAGGTGACAAGAAATTTATTATGATAATTGTTCCAGATTAGTTCTGTTTATATTAATATCCTCCCTTCTCATCACAGTCTTCCTCAAATTCCAAGGCTTGCATTAAGTATACATTATCAAAGCGACACCTTTTATATCTTACCAGTATTATTTCAGGGAATAAATCCTGTATTCTGGGCTTTAACATAAAGGCTTGGTTATCTTTAGATGGTATAGCTGAAAGAAAACAAGTTTTCAGTTTTGACAATCAGGTAAGTGCACAGCAAGTATTGACCAAATGACATTTTGGAGTACTCTAAGAGCCAGCGAAGAATTCAAAGAAAGCTCAAGATAGGTACAAGGAAGAAAACTCACATCAAATAGGGGCAAGGAGTTCCTAACATCTGCCAACGATACGTGCTCAAACCCCCGGTCACACAATGGCAATAATATAAAAACACCTCCAATTCCCAGTTTCTTGGCTGGAGATAGAGATGAGGGAAGTACGTGTTCAATGATCTCACTGTTTTGAAGCACCTTCAAGAACATGTGTTTGTTGTGCATGACACAGTGCGAATGGAATGGCAGTACACAGTGAGTGCCCTGTTGTGGCTGCTATAAAGAGACAATGATAAATTGTTCGAGCACCACAATGACTGCAATATAGAAGATGTGTATCAAGCCTGAAAAGATACCATGGGTCTGAGAAAGACACAGAGAACATTTCAAATATGAAGTTAAACAGACAATGAAATGAAAAATACAGGAATCAAAACAGTGTTCAATGAAAGTAGAATTTATGCCACAGATGGTTATTATTTGTTTCCTTCTATAGAAGGGATGTTGAAAAGCCAGGTTGTTTACAACACCAGAATCTCAACAAAACATATCAAGGCATGCATAGAATCAGAAAAAGTGTACCATCAGATAAACAAACTGGGACTACATCAATAGAAAGATAATAATTACCTGAATAAGTAAGTTTGGCTGAGTGGATAGAGCGTCTGTCTGTGGGCTGCAGGTTCCCTGGTTCAGATCAAGTCAAGGGTACATGCCTGGGTTAAAGGCTTGATACCCACTGGGGGGACATGCAGGAGTTAGCTGATCAATGATTCTCTCTCATCATTCATGTTTCTATCTCCCTCTCGCTTTCTTTCAGAAATCAATAAAAATATATTGTAAAAAAAGCCAGGTAAAGACAACACAATGAAAGAGAATTACAGGCCAATATCCCTCATGAACATAGATGCCAAAATCCTCAACAAAATCTTAGCAAATCGGATGCAGCAGTACATCAGAAAGATCATACACCATGACCAAGCTGGATTTATCCCAGGGATGCAAAGATGGTACAATATCTGAAAATCAATAAACATGATACATCACATTAACAAATTGAAAGAAATAAAAATATTGTAAAAAAAGGAATGGAACTACATATATTAAAGCCGAAAAGGAGAAAAAAGACAACTATATAATATCACTGAAATATTATAGAACCAAAATGAAAATACAATGAGAAAGTATTTTACAAACTCCACCATGAAAGGAAAAATTGAGAAACAGAATACACAAATTAAAAAATAGAGTAGAATCATTAATGAAAGACATCTTCAACATCAAAGAATTTCCCTGGGAGAGAGGCACCAGATGGCAGAATAGGTAAACACCTGTAATCTGCTGCATCCCACAGCCACATCAAAATTACAAATAATATCCAGAACAATTATCATCCAGAATGGCCAGAAAGCTGGCTGAGTAGAGAGGTAAAGAAGAAAGTGCATTGAGACTGGTAGGAGGTGCAGAGGCGTGGAAAGGGCTGGTACCTGGGTGTGTCATTTTTTTAATTTAGAGGGAGATACAAGTTTCCGACTGCTCTGAGCTCTAGTGCCTTGTGAGAGTCAGGGGGACACAGATATATAACAAAAAAAACTGGACTATCTGGCATCAGGGCAGGAACACAGAGGAAAGTTTCTTCCAAACAGAGGTGCTTGCACCGGTCATGGTTCCTTTGCTGGGATCTCCCAGGTACAGCGCTGATTGGCAGCCATTGCTGTTTGCTCCACCCTGAAGATTCGCTGAGACCCCACCTTACCCAATTTAATACCACACCCAAGTTGTGGGCAGTGGCTTTTGCATAGTAAAGGCCTGTCCATTCTCGGCCTAAAACCTGTCAAGCAATCTTCAGCTAGGTCAGGGACCTCCAAAGTTATCAAAAAAAAAGGCCCAAGAACTGGCAACAACGGCAGCCTGCCTTGCTTCACAGTCGGACCTCATCTGGGCACTTCCAAATCCGATACAAAGAGAAGGAATCTGCAGAACTCTCTGCAGCTCCTGTTGGGTGCCCCAAGCAATGGCTCACTTTGCATCTCCTTAGAGATCCAAGAGCCAGTGTATCCAGTGCTCAGTGTGAGACCATACCAGATTACAACTCTTCTCATCCGTAAGTGATACACTCAAGGGGCATACTCAGTGAGCACCAAAGCACCAATGAAGTAAGTCCTGCCCCATAAGGGTATCTCCTGCACAGTATTTCACCCACTGTAGTCAAAGCTGGACAGCACTGGCTATTGGCCTGGTGGTCAATTACCCCCAGTGATGCCAACAGCAATCAAGGCTCAACTACAACACTGCGCACACAGCAATAAAGGCGTGCACCAAGAGTGTCTACCTCAGGTGATTGGGGACGCTGAGTCACTGGGCCCAATAGGACACCTACTACACAAGGCCACGCTATCAACTCAAGGAGAGTGAGCAGCTACGTAGTACATACAAACAAACAGGGAAGCAGCCAAAATGTGGAGACAAAGAAACATGTCAGAAATGAAAGGAATGGAAGTAAGCAAAATACTGTATACAGAGTTCAATACCACAGTTATAAGGTTACTCAAGAATATTCTAGAAACCTCCAAAGAACTTACAGAGACCTTCAAGGATCTCAATGAAAATGACAAAAAAATGGAAAAGGACCAGTCAGAAATTAAGCATACACTGACTGAAATAAAGAATAATATACAGGGATTCAATAGTACACTAGAGGATACCGAGAATCAAGTCACAGATTTGAAATACGAGGAAGCAAAACACACCCAATATGAAGATAGTGTACAAACATCCGAATTATGGGGTGCCAGAAGAAGAGAGAGAGCAAGATATAGAAAAGCTATTTGAAGAAATAATGACAGAAAAATTCCCCTACCTGGTGAAAGAAATAGACTTACAAGTCCAGGAAGAGCAGAGAACCCCAAACAAAAGGAATCCAAAGAGGACCACACCAAGGCACATTGTAAGTAAAATGCCAAGGGTAAAAGACAAAGAGAGAATCTTAAAAGCAGCAAGAGGAAAACAGTTAGTAACCTACAAGGGTGCACCCATATGCCTGTCAGCTGATTTTTAGCAGAAACTATGCAGGCCTGAAGGGAGTAGCAAGAAATATTCAAAGCGATGAATAGAGAGAACATACACCAAGATTACTCTACCCAGAAAAGGTATCATTTAGAATTGAAGGTCAGATAAAGAGCTTAACAGACAAGAAAAACCTAAAGGAGTGCATCACCACCACACCAGTATTATATGAAATACTGAATGGTATTCTTTAAGAAGAGGAAGGAGAAGTAAAAGGTAAAGACAAAAAATTATGAAAAAAGTAAATGCATACCTATCAACAAGTGAATCTAAAAATCACATGAATAAAAAATCTGATAAACAAATAAACTGGTGAATGTAATAGAAACAGGGGCATGGAAATGGAACAGACTGACGATTCTCAGAGGTGATGGGAGCTTATCTACACTAATAAAAGAGAAAAATGGTAATTGGCATACGATGCTATCCTTTTCAATGGCTAATCAGGGCTATATGCAAATGAACTGCCAACTAAGATTGGCAGTTACCTGCCAACAAGATGGCGGTTAATTTGCATATGTAGGCACAATGCAGGGAGGCGAAAGGGAAAGCAGGAAGAAGCCCCCTGCCACTGACAGTGATCGGAAACCCAGGGGGGAGCTAAGAGCTGGGGGGCAGGGCAAAGGCGGCCCCAGGGCCGCCTTTGCCCTGCCCCCCAGCCAGGATCGGAGAATCAGGTGCCTTTTCCGCCCTGGCCAGTGATAGCAGGAAGTAGGGGTGGACCCAGCGATGGGAGCTGGGCACGGTCGAAGCTGGCAGTCCCAGGAGCTAGGGGTCCCTTGCCTGGGCCTAAAGCGGAGCCCACGATCGCGGGGCCGCTGCAGTTGTGGGTCCCGCTGCCCGGGGCGGACGCCTCAGCCAGAGGCGTCCTGCAAGGGAGGGGCGGAGCCCGCGCGATAGCCGCACCCGCCCCGCTGCCACTACAGGTCTCTGCTGCCCGGGCCGGACGCCTAGGCCAGAGGCGTCAGGCCTGGGCAAGGGGCCGATCCTACGATTGGAGGGTGATGGGGGTCAATGCCTGAGGGACACCCCCCCCCCACACACCCAGTGCACGAATTTTGTGCACCGGGCCCCTAGTGTGTGTGTGTGTGTGTGTGTGTATATATATATATATATATATATATATATATATATATGCCTAATGTGCATTTACAACGTCCCAAGCATGAGGTAAAACAATCTTCTACAGGATGCTTATACCACAAAAGAAATAAAGGATACTCTCACATATACGAATAGGGTTGACATACCGAGATGTCTACGTGTAAAAGAATAAACGAAGTTGGGCTGTTATTAGACACCATATACAAATATTAAACCAAACTGGATAAAAGATAGAAACATAAAGGTAATAACAACTCAATCTATTAAAAGAAAAGTTATAGAAAATTTTTGTTTTATATTTAATACTAGGGGCCCGGTGCCCGAAATTCATGCACTGGGTGTGGGGGTGCAGTGGGGGGGAGTGTCCCTCAGCCCAGCCTGCCCCCTCTCACATACTGGGAGCCCTCAGGCGTTGACCCCCATCACCCTCCAATCGCAGGATCGGGCCCTTGCCCAGGCCTGACGCCTCTGACAGAGGTGTCAGGCCTGGGCAGGGGACCCTCACTTCCCCCCATCACTGGTTCTGCCCCCACCCCAGGCCTGATGCCTCTGGCACAGGCATCAGGCCTGGGCAGGGAACCCCAATCAGCTGCCTCCTGCAACCCCCTACTGGGGATGTGCCCGCAACCAAGGTACATGCCCTTGACCGGAATCGAACCTGGGACCCTTCAGTCCGCAGGCCGACGCTCTATCCACTGAGCCAAACCAGTTCGGCGCAATGGGGTATTTAAATCTGATTCGTATCCCGAATTTTAGCTTGCAACTCAAAGCAAAAAAATCAGCAGAGAGACAGCTCATATCTCGAAAAACTCGTTCGTCAGGACACTCGTAAGTCAAGGCCCCACTGTATGTATGTATGTATGTATACACACACACACACACACACACACACACACACACACACAGTAGAGGCCTGTTGTAGGAAAAGATTCGTGCAGTAGGCCTTCCCTTGCCCTGGCTGCCAGCACCGGTTTTCCTCCAACACCAAGGACCGAGACCTTCGCTCCCACCGGAGCCGCCTCCACGCCTCTCCCTGCTCCCACCGGAGCCGCCTTCAGTCTTCGCTAATCCGCTTCGCGCCTACGTATGAAAAGTAACCGCCATATTTGTTGGTGGCTAATTTGCATCACGCTGATTAGCCAATGGGAGGCGTAGCGAAGGTACGGGCAATTATCCTATTTGTCTATTACATATATATATATTCGGATACATACATACACACACACACACACACAAAACACATATATGGCTGCCAGGAGCTGGTCCATCCTTGCTGTTTCAAGGGACCTGGCATATATGGCATACTGTTCTTAATATGTTTGCTCACCTTCTTGGCACTGTGTGCTTTAACCAAGGTCACCTTTCTGAGAAAGGTTGTTTCCCCAGGTAGGTATTTTCCCCTGAAGTGAGGGAGGGAATAAAACCCCTTAACTAAGTGCCAGGCAGGTAATTAATCACTTTAACTATGAACAATCATGCTTAAGCTACATCATCTTTACTCCCTGGAATGGAGATAAGAAACGCCCTAACCTTTGGAATAGAGATTGATAGGATTGGAATCAACTGGTATAAATACAGATGTAACAAGACAACAGGACACAGAACCTAGACACAGAACCTAGAGACAGAAGAACTTCGCTGGAGAGAAGATGGCAAAATATCCTGGACAGAAACTGGAGACAGAACCTAGAGACAGAACCTAGCTAGAGAACTTGGCAAAAGATCCTGGACAGAAACTGGCCACAGACCTAGAGACAGAACCTAGCGAGAGAACATGGCAAAAGATCCTGGACAGAAACTGGCCACAGAACCTGGATAGAACATTGCAAGAGAATCTGACTAGAACGTGGTGACTGAACCTGGCTGGAGAACCTAGCGAGGGAACATGGCTACAGAACCTGACTGGAGAACACGGAGAACCTAGCAAGAGAACATGGACAAAGAACTTGGCTGGAGACTGTGGCTAGAGATCCTGGCAAGGCTGCTGATCAACTGAACGCTGTCTCCGTGTCATTCCTTCTTCACTGACTTCGTCCACACCTTTGGGGACCCCTGGACCTGCTGGGGCTGGACCCCAGCATATGGCTAATATACAAATTGTCCTCTCAGGAGTATGACCTGGAGAGCAGGTGTGCCATCACTCCCTATGATGTGCGCTGACCACCAGGGGCGTCCAGAAGAAGGATGGAGAGCAGAGATAGCGGTGGGGCACTAATAGAGGGATGGAAGGAGGAGGTGGAGAGGGTGGAGACCAGCCCTAAGGACCCTTCTCATGCACGTATTTCGTGGACTAGGCCTCTAGTGTAGACTATAGAATATTCTAGAAAATGATTTTTAAAATATTACTTTCTGATATTACCTTCATTAGTGTAGACAAAATGTAATGTGTGCAAACACTGAGTTCCTAATTCACATACATCAAAAAGTGTTTCTTTTCTACACCAAGGAATTCCCCATTTGTTCCTTTTTAAAAAACTATATATATTTATTCCTTTTAAAGAGGAAGACAGGAGAGAGAGAGACAAAAACATTAATGAGGAGAGAGAATCATTGATCAGTTGCCTCTGGACACCCCATACTGGGGAGTGAGCCCACAACTCTGGCATTTGCCCTTGAACAGAATCGACACTGGAACCTTTCAGTCTGCAGGCCAGTGTTCTATCCACCGGGCCAAACCAGTTATGGACCAACGTGTTCTTTGAGAGCAAGAATCTACCACAGAAAAGAGAAGGCCATGGAGATGTTAAAATCATAAAGGAAACAAAAACCTGCGGGTAGAGTAGGAACTCAGGAAGGAAGTCATCCTCACCTAGGGAGGCCAGGTTGCTATAGTTCTCCAACATCACATCCAGGTACAATTTCTGCTGAGCTGGGTCCAGGAAATCCCACTCCTCCTGAGAGAAATCTATGGCCACATCCCTGAAGGTCACTGGTCCCTGAAAGATAAGAAACATTTACCAAGAGGTCACCAGAAGAGTTCACAAAGTCACCCAACATGAAAACAGTGTCAGAAGAGGTTTGGACCTAGGGGAGTATCCTGAATCAGATAACTTTGCCCCAGTAACATTCTCTGATATGTGTTCTAACATTGACAAAAGAGGATGACACGTGTCCAAAGATCCAGGGTTTAGATTTTCCTATATAAGAAACTAAACTTTAAAATTAAGTCAGGGCCATAGCCAATTTGGCTCAGTGGGCTCAGTGAATAGAGGGTGGGCCTCCAGACTGAAGAGTCGCAGGTTCAATTTCTGTCAAGGGCACAAGACAGGGATACAGGCTCAATTCCAAGCAGGGGGTTTATTAGAGGCAGTCGATCACGAAATCTCTCTCACCATTGTTCTCTCCCTCTCTCTCTTTTCTCTCTGAAATCAATAAAAATATATTAAAAATAAATTAAATTAAGGCATGGGTACAAGCATATGGATTTCTGAGAGCTGTGTTTGCATCATTAAGGGCCAGTGGGGTATATTTCTCAGATGGAAATGCAATGTTGGGTTGGAGTTTATGGACTTCTTAAGTTGAAGCAAACCAAAGCAAAATAAACTTCTGTAAAGACATAGATTCTGATCCAGGTTCTGAGAAGGGGCCTGTGTTTCCACTCATGTCACCAACTCACTTTTTTTTTTTTTTTTTTTTTTTAAATATATTTTATTGAGTTTTTACAGAGAGGAAGGGAGAGAGATAGAGAGCCAGAAACATCGATGAGAGAGAAACATCGATCAGCTGCCTCCTGCACATCTCCTACTGGGGATGTGCCCGCAACCCAGGCACACGCCCCTGACCGGAATCGAACCTGGGACCCTTCAGTCCGCAAGCCGACGCTCCATCCACTGAGCCAAACCAGCCTCGGCAACCAACTCACTTTTTACTAGTGATGCCAATGTTTCCAAATCATGTGCCATACTTCTGAATACACAGGAAAAGAAAACACATTAAATAATTCCTACAGAACTTTGAACTAAAAGGTTTTGTTAATGGAATCCAGTTCGCATGGAATAGGACAGATAGGAACCACAATCCTAGTTGGAAATTCACTATGAGTAATCTTAGAACAAGATTATTTTGCCTGGTGCAACTGGTATGGCCCAGTGGTTTAGCACAGACCCATTTACCAAGATGTCACTGGTTGGATATCTGATCAGGAAACACAACAAAATTGCCACCTCGATCCCCAGTGTGGGGTGTGCAGGAAGCATCCGTTCAATGATTCTCTATCATGATTGATGTTTCTATCTTTCTCTACCTCTCCCTTCCTTTCTGAAATCCATACAACTATACTTGAAAAAAGAAAAAATACTTGAAATAATGTTAACAATTTAGGCACAGAGACATACATATTATAAGTATGAAATCAAGATGGTTAGGTGATTCCGTAAGTTTCAAGAATGTATTTGTGTATGATCCCTTTTTTGCTTTATAAGCCCAATAAGGACAGACACATAAGGATAAAAACAAGTTAAGACCTATTGTTTCCTTGGTGTGGTTGTAAATCCTCAACCCTGGAGATTTTTTCTAATGAATTTTGCAGAGTGGGAGGCAGGGAGGTAGAAGCACAAAAGGGAAAGGTTGAGACAGAGACACACACACACACACACACACACACACACACACACACATCAATGTGAAAGAGACTGAGATGCATGGGTTGCCTGCCTACCACATGTACCCAGGACCTACTTGCCCTAAACCAGGAATCCAACCCTCCACCACTGATACACACCAGGCTGAAGGAACTAATTTTCCTACTACTACATTTCCTTCAAAATTTTTACGTATCGTTAGTGAAAAGATGCTGTAGAAATTTAATGAAACTGAACATCCTATCGAATAAAAGACAAAAAGGGTAATTGGCCCTAGCCAGTTTGGCTCAGTGGATAGAGCGTTGGCCTGCGGACTGAAGGGTCCCGGGTTCAATTCCGGTCAAGGGCATGTACCTTGGTTGTGGGCACATCCCCAGTGGGAGGTGTGCAGGAGGCAGCTGATCGATGTTTCTCTCTCATCGATGTTTCTAACTCTCTGTCCCTCTCCCTTCCTCCCTGCAAAAAATCAATAAAAATATATTTAAAAAACAAAACAAAACGGTAATTGACCATACCTTCGCTACGCTTCCCATTGGCTACTCATGGCAATATACAAATTAACCACCAACGAAGATGGCGGTCGCAGCCACGCAGCTGAAGCGAACAGGAGGCTTGCTTGTTCCAGTGATGGGGGAAGCCAAGGTTCCCTGCTTGCCATGGCCCGTCTCTGAGCTCTGAGAGCAACAACGTCTCAATTATAGACGCTAAACCCCAGATACTGCTTTCAGCAGGCCGCAGACTCAGAGCTGGAGCCGCCTCTCAGCTCCAGTGCTGGCACAAAGTTTCAATTATAGAAGGTAAATAGATTAAAAATGGCGGCAGTGTAGGAGGATGTTAATGGTCATGCTCCCAGGAACAAGCTGTAATGACAACTGAAATACAAGAAGGCTTCCTGAATAATCGACGGAAAACTCACAGAAGAGAACCCTGACATCAAAGGACCGAAGTTGGAGCCGGCATAGAGACAGGTAGGAGGGGCAGAGACGTGACCCAGAGATGGCAACTGAAGTCCAAGAGAGATATCTCAGCTGGTTGAGGGGTGGGGGGCGGGGAGGGGAGCCACTGAGAATTCTGGGATCTAATCCCGGAGCTGGGCTTCCCAGCAGAGAGCACCAAACTGAGGAAGGTACCCACATAACATCAAGCTGTCAAAAGCAATGGGGTTCTGTCTGCCAGGGAGTGGCAGCTGAAAGTTCAGGCACCCTCTTAAAGGGCCAAGGCACAAACATGCCTTGTGGAGCCACCCACCTTGTGCTCTGGCAAAGGAAGGGAAAAGTGGACTGGAGCTGTGAGAGCAGAAGCCAGCACTGGGGACTCGGGGATAGAGCTCAGAAGGCAGACACCCCAAGTTTCCTCGACTCAGTCATTCCCTCACACAGCCACATTGACATCTCTGCCTTGCCTGGGCGGAAAGACATCTGTGTTGCTGGGGAGAAGACAGTTGACACACCCTATTGGAAAACACCTTGCCCTGAGGCCGCTTAAGAGATGAAAAGTAAAAATTCGAAGGAGTACCAGCTGCGTGAGTAGCTAGCCCCCATCCAAGGAACAGCAGCCTCGTGATCACCACACCCTCTGTCTGAGGAACAGCAGCTGTGCCTGAAGCCTTCCTCCACCAGCCAGAAGAGCCACCACAGCGGTGAACAGCACCCACCACAGGAGCTTCTGCCAACTGAGGCACAGCTGCTACCACAACCGCCAGACGAGCAACCGCAGCCCAAGGAGCCACTGCCACCCAAGGAGCAGCCACTGAACGACTCAACATCTAGATATGTTGGTGAGATATAACGTAGGCAGACAAACAAAACCCCAAAGGAAAGAAAAGGACTCGCCAGAAAAGCAGCTAAGTGAAACAGAGGCATGCACATTATAGAAGAAGAATTCAGATTAAGGTTCTAGAGTGCATAAGCCGGATGGAGGAAAAAAATCAACAACTTATGCAAGAATCAAGAAGAAATGGATGGAAAAATCAACAACTTATTTAAGAATCAAAAAGAAATGGATGAAAAAATCAATAACTTAGGTAAGAACCAAGAGAAAATGAAGAGTGATATAGCTGCAATAAAAAACACCATTGAAAGTATCAACAGTAGACTAGGAGAAGCGGAGGACCGAATTAGTGAATTAGAAGACAGGGAAGCAAAACACACCGAAACTGAACTGCATTTGGAGAAAAAAATTAAAAGATAGGAGGAGAGCCTAAGGGAGCTATGGGACAACATGAAACAAAACAACATACAAATAATAGGGGTGCCAGAACAATAGAAAGAGGAACAAGGGTTAGAAAACCTATTTGAAGAAATAATATCAGAAAATGTCCCTGAGGTGGGAAAGAAAAAAGTCACACAAGCCCAGAGAGTCCCAAACAAGGTCAACACGAAAAGACCCACACCAAGACACATCATAATTACCATGGCAAATGTTCAAGACAAAGAGAGAATCTTACAGGCTGCAACAGAGAGATGGAAAGTTACATACAAGGGATCTCCCATTAGATTATCAAATGATTTCTCAACAGAAATACATCAGGCCAGAAAAGAATGGACAAAAATTTACAAAAAGATGCAAAGCAAAGGACTAAATCCAAAAATACTCTATCCAGCAAGGCTATCATTAAAAATCGAAGGGGAAATAAAAAGCTTCACATGCCAAAACCGGTTTGGCTCAGTGGATAGAGCGTCGGCCTGCGGACTGAAAGGTCCCGGGTTCGATTCCGGTCAAGGGCATGTTCCTTGTTGCGGGCACATCCCCAGTAGGAGGTGTGCAGGAGGCAGCTGGTCGATGTTTCTCTCTCATTGATGTTTCTAACTTTCTATCCCTCTCCCTTCCTCTCTGTAAAAAATCAATAAAATATATTTAAAAAAAAAAAAAAAAAGAAGCTTCACAGACAAAAAAGGCTAAGGGAGTTTATCACCACCAAGCCGGCAATGTAAGAAATGCTAAAGGGACTGGTATAAAAAGAAGAAATAAAAAGCTAAGAAAGAAAACAGGCACTAAAATTAAAAATGGCTACAAACAAGTACCTTTCAATAATAACTGTAAACGTAAATGGACTAAATGCTCCAATCAAAAGACATCGAGTGGCTGAATGGATCAAAAAACATGACCCATATATTTGCCGTCTACAAGAGACCCACCTCAGAATAAGGGACTCACACAGAATGACAGTGAAGGGAGGGAAAAATATCTTTCAGGCAAATGGAAATGAAAAGGAAGCTGGGGTAGCAATACTTATATCTGAGAAAATAGACCTCAAAGGGAAGGCCATAACAAGAGATAAGGGAGGCCACTTCATAATACTAAAGGGATAGATACAACAGGAAGATATAACCCTGATAAACATATATGCACTTAAT